ACACCTGTCCAACTGCTCGTTAACACTTAATTTCTAAGCAGCCAATCACATGGCGGCAACTCAGTGCATTTAGGCATGTAGACATGGTCAAGACAATCTCCTGCAGTTCAAACCGAGCATCAGTATGGGGAAGAAAGGTGATTTGAGTGACTTTGAACGTGGCATGATTGTTGGTGACAGAAAGGCTGGTCTGAGTATTTCAGAAACTGCTAATCTACTGGGATTTTCACGCACAACCATCTCTAGGGTTTACAGAGAATGGTCCGAAAAAGAAAAAACATCCAGTGAGCGGCAGTTCTGTGGGCGGAAATGCCTTGTTGATGCCAGAGGTCAGAGGAGAATGGCCAGACTGGTTCGAGCTGATAGAAGGGCAACAGTGACTGAAATAACCACTCGTTACAACCGAGGTATGCAGCAAAGCATTTGTGAAGCCACAACACGCACAACCTTGAGGCGGATGGGCTACAACAGCAGAAGACTCCACCGGGTACCACTCATCTCCACTACAAATAGGAAAAAGAGGCTACAATTTGCAAGAGCTCACCAAAATTGAACAGTTGAAGACTGGAAAAATGTTGCCTGGTCTGATGAGTCTCGATTTCTGTTGAGACATTCAGATGTTAGAGTCAGAATTTGGCGTAAACAGAATGAGAACATGGAACCATCATGCCTTGTTACCACTGTGCAGGCTGGTGGTGGTGGTGTAATGGTGTGGGGGATGTTTTCCTGGCACACTTTAGGCCCCTTAGTGCCAATTGGGCATCGTTTAAATGCCACGGCCTACCTGAGCATTGTTTCTAACCATGTCCATCCCTTTATGGCCACCATGTACCCATCCTCTGATGGCTACTTCCACCATGTCACAAAGCTCTAATCATTTCAAATTGGTTTCTTGAACATGACAATGAGTTCACTGTACTAAAATGGCCTCCACAGTCACCAGATCTCAACCCAATAGAGCATCTTTGGGATGTGGTGGAACGGGAGATTCGCATCATGGATGTGCAGCCGACAAATCTGCGGCAACTGTGTGATGCCATCATGTCAATATGGACCAAACTCCCTGAGGAATGCTTCCAGCACCTTGTTGAATCTATGCCACGAAGAATTGAGGCAGTTCTGAAGGCAAAAGGGGGTCCAACCCGTTACTAGCATGGGGTACCTAATAAAGTGGCCGGTGAGTGTATAGATAGATTGGACAAAATGATAGATAGATAGATAGATAGATAGATAGATAGATAGATAGATAGATAGATAGATAGATAGATAGATAGATAGATAGATAGATAGATAGATAGATATTTTATTAGATTTTTCACTGTTTAATAAAATGTATTTGAATGCTAGTGTATTGCAGTTGCAGATTAAACAAAAATATGAAGCAGCACAACTGTTTTCAACATTGATAATAGGAAATGTTTCTTAAGCATTAAATCAGCATATTAAAATGATTTCTGAAGGATCATGTGACACAAGACTGGAGTAATGATGCAGAAATTCAGCTTTGATCACAGGAATAAATGACATTTTACAATATATTCGAATAGAAAACACATCTTAAATTGTAATAATATTTCACAACTTTACTTAGACTTAATTCAAAAACATTGAATCGTAATTATTCAAAGTTCAAAGTTTTCGGGTCAGTAAGAATTCTTTTATGTTTTCTCAGGTTGTATTTGTTTACACATGCAGTAACATCACTTAATTTAAAGGTAAAGTGTGCAGAGATAAGGTTTAATGTGCAGAGATTACTATGTGTAAGCAAACAGTAAACATGAGTCTCAGAAAAACTGTAAGGAACAAGACTAGATTATAGACGTAGGAGAATAACAGCCAAATAAACATGAGAATGGACAAAGAATGACTCAAACTAAGGGCTATAAATACACAGAGTAACTAAAGGGATAAACAAAGAACAGGTGAATCAAATCAAACAACGAGTCGCAAACCAATGAAACAAAAAGGAAACACAGGAAGTTACCAACTAAAAGTCCATGAAATCGAAACAGAATCCAAAATGAACTGAACATTACGGTTATATTTTACAGCAAATAAAAGTGTTTCTATTTTGGGTAAAGAACATCAAGCTTATTTTTGTTACATAACTCCCCCCACGCAAAAGACGTGTTCTCGCTCCGTAAATGTCTGTCAGAGGATAGACGGGGCTATGGAGGTGGACAAGGAACCAGAGACAGAACCGACCCTGGAGGAGCCGGCAGAGGGAGACACCAAAGTGGAGCCAACGGAGGGAGGAGCCAGAGAGCGACCCAGCAAAGGGCCACCAGGATGAAGGCCCCCGGCGAAACTGATGAAGGGAGGAGCCAGAAACCCGACCAACAGAGATGTGGTCAGGAAAAATGAGACCCTGACAAAACTCCGGGTGACATCGAAGGACCAGGAGGCCAAGGCAGAGCCATGGTGACGAGCGGCCGCGGTGGAGCCGAGGTGCTGGAGGACTGAGGCAGATGACGGTCCCAGGTGGAGCAGAGGGAGCGAGGAGCCGACTGGTCAACGGGCCGAGGTGGAGCCATGGGATCAACACACCAAGGTGGAGCTGGAGCCTGGAAAGCCCAAGGCTGATCCTAGGAGCTGGCCGGAGCCACCAAAGGAGGTGGGGCGAGGAACTGAATGGCGTTGTCAAAAGAGGAGGGAGTGGGAGGCTGGGCAGGACCAGAGGCAATGAAGGAGACTTGAGACTGGAGACCTTGAGATATGACGTAATCCACTTTATCATACCATTTTATGGGGACCGGGCACAACACATCCTCAGCGGCGGGAGTATTTGTGAGGCTCCATTTCATGCCGTCATACTCCACTAAAATGCCTTCAATGATAGACACTTGGGTGCCGGCTCACGCACCTGGTCAGACTCTGTTATTGGTTCAGGCTCCGGAATGAAAATGACCTTGGGCGTTGGCTCTGGCACTGGTTTCATGGCAGGCTCAGGCTCTAAATCTGTGGTGGGCTCTGTCTCAAGGTCCGTAGGGGACGTGGCTGAAGACTGGCTGGTCTCTGGGTCTGTTGCAGAACTGGCATTGTCTTCCTCTGCGATGCAGATGGTGAGAGGGGAACCACATTGCACCAACACCTACTCTACATATTCTGCAAAACTCTCTCGAGGACCAACCCCAGACAGCTTGGCCTTAGTCAAGGTGTTGAATCTGACATAATAAAATGTGCATAGGCAGTTGAGCCAGATCTAAAAACTCACGGCTAAGGTGGTCCTCGAAGGAACGATCTCTATTCGTTTAGATCTTCACGTGTGCGGAATCTGCGCGTTCTGCTAGATGACTCTTTAAACCTTGACAAACACATTTCCTATGTAATAGGCTCTAGTTTTTATCAACTTCTTCTGTTGTCTAAAGTCAAACCTTTCCTAAAACATAAAACTCTAGAGATGGCTGTTCATGCTTTTATTACCTCACGTTTAGACTACTGCAATTCACTTTACTGCGGGAAGTCAAAGTCTCAAATTGCTCGTCTTCAACTAGTTCAAAATGCTGCTGCAAGATTCCTTCTTAATAGACGTAAAAGCGCCCATATCACCCCAATTCTGAGGACCCTTCATTGGCTGCCTATTAAATTCAGAATTGATTTTAAAATCCTTTTATTTTGTTTATAAATCTTCTACGTGATCTAGCCCGCATCTATTTATCTGAATTGCTGCAACCATATAATCCTTCTAGAAGTTTGAGATCCAGTGACCAGAACCTTCTATTAATCCCACAGTCCAGACTCAAACGTAGAGGGGATCAAGCGTTTTCTATGGTTGGGCCACGGTTGTGGAACAATCTGCCTTTAGAAATTAAGATAGCCCCTTCTTTGACCACTTCTAAGTCTCTACTAAAAACGCACTTGTTTTCCATGGCTTATAATACATTTTTTATTTATTTTTATTTTATTATTGTAATTGTTAATTAACTGTTTTAACTGTGTTTTAGCTGTGCTGTTTGTTTACCCTGTTTCTTCCTTTTGAACCTCTGTATAGCACTTTGGTCAGTCGTGTGGCAGGATCTACAGTAAACACAGCAGTCATGTTCATTAATAATACTTGGCAAAAAAAAAAAAAGCCGGAGCACATCAAAACCAGCAGGAGAATAACAGACAACTAAAGCCTAGTTCACACTACATGATTTTAAAACGTCGGGCTGAACTGTGCGGTTCACACATGACTTGCTCTCTGTGAAATCAGGAGTGTTCAAGTTGTTGAGCTAGTTCACACCACACGACACAACGTGATTGATCCGCAACAGGAGGTAACGCACTACACGAGATGACAACAACTCTGTCACCCAACAATTCTATCTTGTCTACAAACCACGTTTTGTCACAAAAAATCACGCGATAAAACGAGCCGGAAATGACGCGAAACAGCACGCGCGCTAATACCCAGCGAAGAAGACGAAGACCCATGCCTTGCTCTGATTGGAGCAACCCATGCCTTGCTCTGATTGGCTGTAGCTCATGACATCACTGAGGTTGAGTCGGGCGACAGCTCTGGATATCTAGCATGCTAGATATTTTTCTGGGCTCGGCGACGCGTCTGCGAGGCGTCAGCGAGCGTCTTTGATGCGTTGTTGGCTCTTTCATACTAACAGATTGGCGAGCGTCCATCGTCCGCTAATCCCCTGCGATTTGCACGCGATAACACCCTGACCTGTCGGCGAGCTCAACGATTTGCAAATCGGGCTTAAATCGGGCTTATAATCCTGTAGTGTGAACTAGGCTTAAACAGACGAGAACGAGGCAGAGAACTAACTAAAGGGCTAAATGAGGTGAATCAGGTGAATCAAATCAATCAAACAATGAGTCGCTATGCCAACCAATTAAACCATTCTAAACCATTCCATTCCATGGACACAAAAAAGAAAAACAGGAAACAAAGTTAAGACCCCCATTTACACCTGGTATTAAAATGCGATCTGTATCCAGATAAGTTATCCGGATAATAAAAAACGCATGTTAATGCAAGGTGTAAATACGTTGTGATGGGATCTGCCTGACCACATCTGGAGGTAGTCTGGCTCGCATTGTGTTCGGATCTTTACTAGGTGTAAACGCAATCCGTACGACGTGATGGCATTCGTACCTGCCAAACGTCATCCTCTGCCCGCGAAAACCACACCCTTCAGAAGTAACGTTAAGCTAAACATCTACAGAGACGGGTTCACTGTCGCAGCATTCACAGTAGCCGCAAAAACAACAGCTGCAAACAGGGCCTGTCGTCTTTTCTGTTTGCTCCTAATAGAAAAACGTTGAAAATGACCCCTACCGCGACAGAGAAAAAGTAGAAACAGGCGGTACAGTAATAGCATCTCTAACGATCCTACACCTGCCATGTTGACAAACTACAGCTGATTTCCCGCCACCTCAGTGCTCACGCGCAGGTGTCACTCTGGCTGCGTTTACACTTGGCATTAACATGCGACCTGTATCTGGATGTTGTCCACATACACATTGAAAAGACAAGTGTAAACGCACTTCTGATCGGAATGTTATCCGATCAGCGTGTCCCGGTTCGGAGGTAGTCGAGGATGCATTGTGATCGGATCTCAGTGTAATGTAAACGCAATCCAGCCATCGTGTCTGCATTCACAGGTGAACGTAATTTAAATCCCCGCCCAGTCTCCCCGCGTGACTGTCAGAAAGTAATGGCCAGACGCAGTTTAGACACGAAATGAAACTTATTTGAACAATAAATGTCAATCTTTAAAACATTTTATTTATGTGTGTCATTTTTTATTTTAATTGTGCAACATTATCTGAACGAGGCGATCGCCTGCCCTGTACACTCACAGTCAGTCATGAGATCTTAATGAAGAGCTGCACTTGCCAGAGGAATAATCGGAATCGGAATTTTTTAATGTTTTAAATGTTGAAGGTTTTTATTGTTTTAGCATGTTTATCAATCTCCCATTTCTGTCAATATAGTCATTGCACGCAACCTTAAACCCAGATGATCGATGATGTGACTTGTTTAACATGATCAACCCAGTTATTTTTATAAGATCAACTCTGGAAGTATTCCTTCTTTCAAAAAATATAATTTGATCTAATTAGATTGCATATGAAAGTAAAGTGAGTGAGTGAAAGCAATTGGGATGTTGTTTAATTTGTATCATCTTTACTCTCAATCTGGTGTTGTGCCACAGACCTGATTTAAATATTATGCAGAAACAGAAATCCGAGAAATCCGGTTATCCAGATACAGAGGCTGCTTAATGTGAACAAATATAAACGCACCATGTCCTGATTGGCTAATGATCCGATCTGCTTCATCGGATCACGGTGATCGCATGTTAATGGCAAGTGTAAACGCAGCCAGGGAGGACAGAGATCCGAACTCAATGTGGATAACGAGAACGACTTAAAAATACAAGGTGTAAATGCAAAGGTAAGATCAGAACACTTATTATCCGGATAACTTATCTGGATACAGATCGCATTTTAATACCAGGTGTAAATGGGGCTTAAAAGTCCATGAAAACAAAACAGAAACCAAACTGAACTGAACGTTGCAGTTATATCAGATAAAGTGACGTTAATAAATTAAATAAAAAAATGTTATTTAAATAGCATCTGTTTTAGTAAGTTTAATTTTGTGCATTTATTTATTTGACAACTACAAAAATTATCATTACAGTATTACAGAAACTATTTGTCAGTATATAACTGCTCACACATAATGTCAAGTAGATCAAACCGACTGATATACATTTTGAAACACAGACTGGGCTTAAATATAGAAAATCGTGACACAGAGATAAGTTCCTCTTACACCACAGCATGCATGTGTTTACACTGAATCAGTAATCCGTTGTTTGCATGCGTAAATCACACTGTCAGTGTGAAGGTGGAGGATTTGGACTTCAAAAGGAAACGCAGGCCTGCGGGTCAGGATGGAACCGCGTTATGATGCGTTTCCTGTTAGATAAAGCTCTCCATGTGGGCCACACTAATGAGGTGCCTGGAAAAACGTCCCGTACGGCTCAATCGTTTGAAAATGGAGAAACGAAGAGATTAAACCTCTCGTGCTCAGTAAAAACAGACTCATGGATCTCTAATGACCCTTGTGAAAAAAAAGTGCACTTTAGTGTACTTTTATAAAGTGTACTTATTACACAAATAATATACTTTAAAGGTATACACTTAAGTGTGAATTAAATGCAATTTTTTGGCCACACTGAATGCACATTAAGTATAATTAATTTAAAATATATCATATATTAAGTTCAAATAAAATGCAATAAGTTGTCATTAAGAGTGATTTTTTGGTACAACTTAATTGGTACTTTAATACAACTTTATATTTACTTTCATAATTGCTTCGAGTGTATTTAAAATATATTTAAAGTGCACTACACAATATAATGACACGCAATTAATGTGATTTAAAATATACTATAATGTCAGTTAACAATACACTTAAGTGTGAATTAAATGCAATGTTTTCGCCGCATTGAATGCACATTAAGTGTAATTGATTTCAAATATATCACATATTAAGTTCAAATAAAATGCAATAAGTTGTCATTAAGAGTGATTTTTTGGTACCACTTAAGTGGGACTTTAATACAACTTTATATTTACTTTCATAATTGCTTCTAGTCTATTTAAAATGTATTTAAAGTGCACTACACAATGCACTGACAAGCAATTAATGTAAACTAAAATGTACTTTAATGTCAGTTAACAATACACTTAAATGTGAATTAAGTGTAATGTTTTCGACAAACTTATTGCATATTATATGTAATTGATTTCAAATGTATCACAGATTAAGCTCAAATTAAATGCTATTAGTTGATATTAAGAGTGATTTTTTGGAACAAATTAAGTGGGATTTTAATACATTTGTATATGAACTTTGAAATATGGTAAAAGTGTACTTCCAAATATACTGACAAGCAATTAATGTGAACTAAAATATACTTTAATGTAATATACATGTACACTATTATATAATTAAATACATTTGTAATAAAAAAAGTTGCAAATATTTTCAAATTTGGACAAAAAAAAGTCTTAACCTAGCTACAATCAACATAAATTCAATTTAAAACCCTCTACATTTACTGACAAAACAATCTCTAAAATAAATACATAAAAACCTTTCTGTTGGTGCACAAGAAAAAACCCAAGAAACACAATACATAAACAGTTACAACACTTTAAAGGGATAGTTCACTTTGAGACATTCTGTCATTATATACTCACCCTCAAGTTGTTTCAAACCTGTATGAATTTTTCTTCTGCTGAACACAACGAAGATATTTTGAAAAATGTCAGTAACCAAATAGTTAACTGGTCCCATTGACTTCCATGGTATTATGTTTCCTACTATTGAAGTCAATGGGACCAGTTAACTGTTTGGTTACTGACATTCTTCAAAATATCTTCCTTTGTGTTCAGCAGAAGAAAGAAAGGTAACACTTTATAATAACTGCACACTATTAATCATTAGTTAAGCATGAGTTAACAGTTAATTCATCATTTATAAAGCATTAATAGACATTAATAAGAAGTTTATAAATACAGCTATAAATGCTTTTTCTTGATTTATAAGCATATCTATAATGTGTTTAATAATTATATTTTCATACTTTGTTAATGATCAATTAATAATTTCTAAATTAAGTATAGCATTATTTACAAACCAGTTATTTAAGAGTTGTCAGTGATTCATAAGATCACTTAAGTGTAAGTTGAGGGTGAGTATATGATGACAGAATTATCATTTTAAAGTGAACTATCCCTTTAACTCTAATTTAGAAAGAGTCTGGAGGGCAATGATGCTTATATGCACAATCATTTTCTCCCTCATACAAAGGTACCTAAACCTATCATCACAGAAAACATTTTTGTGTTTTTACATTTTCAGAAAACATCATTCTGTATGATTTATAAGATTCTTTCCATGTAATTTACTGGTATGACTATACTTTTGGGGTAATTTGGTCCCCATAACCTAGGGATTACCAGTACAAACATAATTTTAGAAGCAAACACACAGTACATCAAACACACAACCCATGAATTAATACAAACAAAATGTGATGTGACGTTATACTGCAAAATGTGAACACTAAGATTCAAACGGGTAATGCTTTACAAAAAGGTATTATTAGTTAACTCCTTCAGTTAACATGAACTAAAAATGAATAATACTTCAAGCATTTATTAGTCTTAGTTAATGTTAATTTAAACATTTAATAATGCATTATTATATTCAAAAGTTGTGTATTAAAATTATAATGCACTGTGAACTCGCATGAACAATGACTATAAATTGTATTAACTAACTTTAACAAACTATATTTTAATTAACTAATATTAACAAAGATTCATAAATACTGTAAAAACATGCACATTTTTAGATCATGTTGGCTAATACATAAACTAATATTAACAAATGAGACCTAATTAAAGTGTTACCGAACCTTGTTAATTTTAGCTCTTAAACCTTTTCAAGTTTGTCTAAAAACAAAAAACTAAAACTGAAGAAATCTAAAGGCACAAAAACAAGAAAACCAAAATCATTTGTCACCAAATCTTTTGAAGTAGTTGGAAAGTGCTGTTTATGTCAATGTCCCGGTGCTCTCCAAAGTAAATGTGAATGGATTTGTTCCGAAGAGGCAGGAAAGTCAGAAAAAATACCTTGAGGGAAAAAAAAGTGAAGGAAAACAATTGTTTATAAAACATATACAGTCCATTATTATATTTGGCTCAAATGAATGAAAGTGATAGATATTTTCCCGTTAAAGTTGATATACACCTTGCAGTATTTTAGTCTTTATTTTAGCAATAAGAGGGAACACAAAAATGTATATGTTGTCTTTTTATTTAGTACTACCCTGATGAAGCAGTTTATTCTGCAAGGTGTACGTAAACTTTTGACTGCTAACTGTTGATGTGATGAATTACCTCATCAGGGTCACACCGAAGTAGAAAGCTGGGCAAGGTTCCTCTATTTCCCACAAACACCATGATTGCACTGACCACACCATCTTCACTGACACTGGGCTTAAAGTCATTAAAAATAGAGAACATTTATTTTGCTACTTTAAAAGGAATTAAACATAACTTTATCAATTACACAAACAATGACCCATGCAAACCCAAGACCCATGCAAATTGAGAAAGGTAATCTTGAATTTTAAGCTTGCATCTTAGTATCTTCATGAAGGATGTTCCTGTATTTACCACGGTTGACACAGTAATGCGGCAGCCTTCTTCATTTGGTTTGTTACCTGTAAAATATATGATGATTATAGGTAAAATATATGATGATTATAGGGGCATATGTAAATGCACAGGTGGGAATGTATTACTTGCAAATGGAAAAGATTCAAAGCATTAAAAGCTATAGGGATAGTTAGGGACTTGATAGCAGTGTTTTAGCTTGATAGAGGTGTGCTGGCTGGGCAAAAATTCATAATAAATCTTGTAACATCACCTCATCAATACAGGTCTGTGATTCCACACCGCTTGCCCTGTATCTCCAATAACAAATGTGAACTGATCCTGCAAAATGAATGTTTAATCCAGATAAGCACAAAAATATTACATATTCCAAAACAAATAGTAACTGAACAACTCACTCTTCAAATGCAAAACGAAATTAAATACATAACGTTACAAGCTTTATTTCTAGAGGTGGGTGATATATTAAATATGTATGTAACATTATGTGGTTAAGATTGATTAATATATAAATGTCTTCGAGAGTTACAATATTGGATCAGCATTCAGCATGCAAATTTAACTTTAAGTCATACTCATTTAGTTTGTTTAAAATTATTTAAAAAGTCGGTTTAGTAAAAATAAATAAATGAATAAATATATTTAAAAAAAAACACATTTCAGTAGACAAATTCCTCGAACACGCCCACACACCCGAGCACATTTCGATGTAAGACATTATTTGAATGCAATCATAGATAAATTATTGGAAACATGATTAATTTACCTCCCGAATCTATTGCGTATAACGTTACTATCTGCGATTAAAAAGCACTCTTAAAGTAACAACAGGTCGTTTTTTGCTCTCGGGCTCCCCCTACAGTTGGGAAACAGTATTGTCCTCTACTACTGTCGTAAACTGTCATCCTACATGCACGTGCATTTGTTGACAACCATGATAGCCCTGAACACTGAAGGAGGAGGTCACATGCAGGTGTTCTGCTTGCATGGCGTGTGAAATGTCTTCATCCCAGGTACAGTGGCATATATTTCAGCATGTCATATGAATATAATTTCATGCGTTTTATTTTTTTTTATAACGACAAATGATCGCGATGCTCACGTTTACAAGCCAGCGTCATTATAGTAGCCTAGTCTATTGGTTACCGTTTTACTGAATCTATATGATACTTCTATGCAATGTTTGAGTGGTTGATAATAACCATATATCGTCAATATTATAATATCAAGCTACCATAAATGAATCTGCAAATTTTACAAATCGATTTGCATTATAGCTTGAGGCAAGACAAATAAACAAATATCACAGACATGTTAGGTATCCTAAAAAATGATTTTATTAATAATCTTCCTCCTTTCTTTGTACATGTTGAGTAGACTACACTTTTTAGGTCAAACATTTGCTATTTGAATTTCATCGATTGCAAAGTTCAAATCAGAACGAGAATACTAGCGATAGCTAACCATCAAAAACTAGAATATCGTTTACTAGCTACCAGATTGATAATTCGCTACTACTCTAGCGAATTAGAGAGGTTAGAGAGAGGCATTCTTTTTTCGATGGGGGGTTCGATGCTCCCTGCACACGCAAGGTCTCTCGCTCGCTTTCTCTCTCTGCCGTCCGCGCGCGTTGGAGCACAGTCTCTTTCTCGCGTGCGAGCTCGCTCTAGATTCCGGGAGATTTGAACTAATTTGCGGTATAACTTGTCGATCACGAGTGGCTCAACAGGTAGAGATCTATAGATAAACTCATCTTTCAGGCATCTGACCGACCGGGTTGACAATTTAGCGTGAGAAACCGGGGGTGTGGCGTGTGGCGTGTGAGCGTGTGAAACCAATTAAATGCGGGTGTCTCACGGCCAATGCGTGAGAGTTGGCAGCTCTGCAATGTTGATCCTCGTTCTGCCTTTAACGCGATCACTCTCTTTTTCTCTTTTTGCTTTGCTCCGATAAAACCTTTGCTGTCTTGTTTTTCTGTGCTGCTTCGGCCATGACTATAACATTTGGCTCGCAAGTCCGATTTTAAGGAAGTGGGGGTGGAAGTGACGTATATGCCGCAAAGCAGTCGAATTTTGTAGTTCTCTTTGTTCGCCGGTTACTACCCGAAACCCGAAGTTTAAAAGTACGATTAAAAACGCTACAGACCCCGTCAGGCTATGGCAGACGTGTCATTCAACCTATTGTAAGTCGATGTACCATCACAAGAGACTTGGAAATATATTATGAAGGCTGAAAAGTTACCTGTTGTTACTTTAATCGCAATATCAACTGCGGTGAAAAAATTTCAATAAAGAAAGCATCAAGATATACTTACTTGACTGATTATTTGCAGTATAACATCTCATCTGCAAACAGCCAAACGTGGCGCTCCTTTTGTTCTCTTCTTTTGTTCTCTTCTTGTTTGGGAAGCTTCAGTTTCCTCATGCACCGCCATTACAGAAACATAACAGCGCATTTTTCAAACTCTAGTGAAGTACTGCGTCATCATGACGTAGTATTTCTGGCGCATGCGCATTAAACACCATGTTCGTATCGAGTATATTTTTATTTCAGTTTTTTCTGTTTAAGTTGAATTTGTTCTAACTCATTGTGTTGTTAGACTTTGTAAGTTCACAAAACTTTACTCTTTCACCTAACTAAAAGTCAATATTTTTGTTCAATATTAATGCACACAGTATATATTATAGACTAAACACATTTAAAATACATGAACAAATTATTTTTGGACAACACACTTGAGTTGAAATTAAAGTGAATTACTTTCCATGTTTTCCATTAAAATTATTATTTTATTTAGTATATTAGTCAATACATCAAAATAAATTTCATTTAATAACTTGTAACTTTAATAAATTTAAAACACTATAAATCATAATTATTTAAAATGTATGTTTAAGTAAAACTTAAGTAGACACAATTAAAAAGTGATTGTTTTAAAACATGCACTTAAGTGTGTTTAGAAATATTGTGATGAAAGTGTACTTTAAGTTAAGCTTAATTAGATATTATTACAAAGTGCATTTGTAAAAAGTGCACTTAAGTGTGTTTACAAATATGATCATGAAAGTGTACTTTCTTTAAGTAAAACTTAATTAGACATTATTACAAAGTGCATTTTTAAAAAGTACACTTAAGTGTGTTTAGAAATATTGTCATGAAAGTGTACTTACTTTAAGTTATAATTAATTACATATTATTACAAAGTGCATTTTTAAAAGTGCACTTAAGTGTGTTTATAAATATTGTGATGAAAGTGTACTTACTTTAAGTTAAACTTAATTAGATATTATTACAAAGTGCATTTGTAAAAAGTGCACTTAAGTGAGTTAATAAATATTGTCATTAAAGTGTATTCCCTTTAAGTACACTTAAGTGGTCTTTAATTTTAATTATATTATATTATCTGCAAGTACACTTTTCAAAAAGTATACTTTTATTAGTTTAAGCACACAAAAAGTACGCTTTCAATACAATTAAGCACACTTCTTTTTCACAAGGGGAATCCAAACACATCTTGGGTTCATTGCGATACTTTGTCGTAAACACTCATACAGGGTCCCTACAATTGCTTCTGCTCTCGTGATAAGATCAACTAAGTCTGTGGTTTTGCCATCTTGAATTGCGGTGTTGTGTTTGATTGGGTCTGACTATGGAGCACATTTGTCTCGTTTTCAACTCTTGGGCCAAAGACATTCATCACTAAACAAGCCCAGAATCAGTTAGGCAAATTGTAATTCCTTTGCATTAATATTGTGGCAATGCTGGGGGAAAGACAGCTTACACAAATCTAAGGTGGTTAGCTAGTCTCCCAACTGGGTTAACTGGTCTGATTGGGTGGATTCAGAAGAGTCTCGTCTGATGGTCAGGCTGGGAGACCAGCACATTACCTAATAAGCTGAGTATTTCAGCAAAGATATGACGTCACATTGTGTATATTGATTTTATAGTGTCTATACAGTATGTGTACAATGTTGTGTTGATGGGTTTGTTAAGCCGCACAATAAAAAAAGGCTAGCTTAGCATGCTAACCACATAACTGAAAACACAAAACTAAGAAATCAGCCATCAGTGTGTTTATCGTTCTCGGTGTAATCTTGCATGATGGATTCACACTTTAACATTTGCAAAATGTATGCTGTTTCATGTTGGTGAATTGCTGCACTTATGATACAACAAACATATTGTACACAGAGCAGCTAAATTAATCATTTCCATCACTTATAATTGTTAAGAAAAAACAAAGTACACCAGGTAAAATTATGTAAAACATGTGACTGAAATAGCCATTTAGCCTCTGATATTTAGTTTTTTAGGTGATGCTGCTGCGTTAGTCTGGTAGAAGTCAAAACTTTAAAAAAAAAAGATGTCCAACTTATGAGTTAAAGAAGTTTCAACATACAAGATAAAAAAAAGACATGAACACATTTAACACTGGGAAATTTGTAATTGTGGTAATTTACAACATGGTGCACATTTGTGGACTATTATAATGGTGACAATGAATTTAAGACTCAGTGTTCACATTTAAAAAGTTCATTGATCAGTTTTGCACCTGACCCTGAATTACCATTTCAATTATGCTCAAAATTAAAAACAAAAAATGGAAAAATCTAAAAACAAAAGCATCCCTTATTCACTCATAATTAATTAATTAATCACTTATTTTTCATTAAGTTGTCAGTAATGAAATGTCATTTAAAGAAACAAGTTCTGTCTAAACTGTTTTTAAAATCATTCATTGTGGCACTAAATTAAATCCGTAAAATTTTCATACAAAAAAACCCCACACATTTACAGAACTGTCTGAAATAATTTACACATAAACTTTGCTTGTAGTAGAGTGTTATTGATTATAATGGTTGCGATGTAAGGAATACACTGATTAGTTGTAGACGGACAGGAGGATGACGAGCGCTGTGGTCAAGCTTAGAGCCAGAAGTGGATGTTGGCTGATGGAGGGCGTCCCATCAGTCACCCTGATGTCTTGAGCCCCACACTGGGAACAATCCGACCCACACAGCGAACACACAGACATGTGCTGTCTAATCTCAGATGTGTAGGACCGCACTGTCCTCCGTTCTGCAGAGGATAAGAGAATGAAACAAGGAACTTGAAACACATACTGGGAACAGAACATCATTTGAAGGACCATGAATAAGATTGTTTGGAGCAATTATTTAAAGAGTCTTACGCGGCTCATAGTAGTCGTAGATCATCGTCACAGCATCTTGGACATTGGCCACTTTAAAATCCATTATGGTGGATATTTCAATGCACTTTTCGAATATGGTCACCTGTGATTAGAGGAAAGATGATAAAGCCACGAACCATCCGATGCATAATGCACACAAACAAATAACCAAGTAAACCATCATAAGAACAAAAACACACCGCAAAACATTCTTAAATCAAGATACAATTACTTGAGAAGCAAAATGACAGGAGATAATAAGTCTTCTTTACTGAAAAAATTATCAAAATTGAGTTTTTGCTTAAAACAAGCAAACTAAATCTGCCAATGCGGTCAGAAAAATAAACTTAATTCATTTCATAGGGAAAATAAGCTTCTAAGTTATTTTTGCTTGCAGACTTAGCACCCTTATAATGAAACATTGTATGAATATAAGTACAGGCTGGCCCACACTACAAGATTTTTGGGTCCAATTCTCCCCTTCCAATTAAAGTCCAGATAATCTTGATGGTTTTACATATTATTTTATCAGATTTTCTGATGTGAGGTGTGTTAAGAGTGACTGAATCTGCTCGGAAGGGCCGCACTGATCTCAAATCGTAAATATCCAACATGTTAAATATAAAATTAAAATGGTAATTTAATATTTATTTAGTATCAGAAATCCTGTTGTGATGGGAGAACCCCAGGAAAAATGCGCACGACCTCTGTATATTTTTCGCTCTGTAGATTTTCTGTAGATATCCAGTCAGAAAGCGAGTTGACGGAAGACTCCCCTCCAGCTCGTGCTGTAAAATGTAAAGTCCATGTTCACACCGTCTCCACGACTTCATCCAAACTGTGTTTTGTTTTTTTTGCGTGAATTTTCTATAAAAAGCAATCCAAACACTATTATCGCCATTTCTTCTTGCCCGTCGTCCGCCATGTTTGTTTACTCTAAAGTCACGTTTGACCAGGAGAGATATTGTGAGATTTCCCGTGTTCACAGGCGTCCGGGACGCTGGTTGTTTGTGAATATAATCTTTTAGTGTGTGGTGTATTGGTCAGATCGTGGCACTCCAACACTATAGGAACTGTTAAAACTATTTTTTTTTATCTCTCACAATTAGAAAATCTGATAGGATTTTTAAAATCTTTTAATGTGGGCCAGCCTTAAGTAATTAAGTTGCTAACTCACCGTGTCTAAGTAAAGTATAACTCGTCCTGAAGGCGTCTCTATTCTTCTGACTATATCATCTATCTGGACACCCTCTGGGGCCAAACTGAAGCCCGTGAGCAAACCCACGTCCAGTATGGCCATACCCGTCTGACTCAGGCCCAGGCCTTCCCTCAGCCTTAAAGAAATGGACAAAATTATGCTTTCAGACAGATTTCTTCTCAAATTTGATTGAATGATTCCATAAATATCTACAGCATGCAGCCCCAAAAAAGTATTTGGACATAAATACTTTAGAATTTTATGATTTGCATTAGATATAGAATATATAATGCAATATTGCTAGTTGTCTAATAAACCTGGCATTGTATATTATGATTATTGATGGCTCTTTTTGATGAATTGCTTTTGTTTTCCTCTAATATTATATTTTTATTATCTTATTGGTAAATGTGCTACTTATTTGTGTTTTAATTGAGCTGCATGTTTTTATCTTTTCTTCCTAATAAAATTAGGTAAAAATTGTATATGTATTTCAATGTTTATTAATGTGCAGTGTCCCTTTTTAAATAAATCAACTTTTTATATAAATAAATGCCATATCAGTTCAGTTCAGTTTCAGTTTATTGTCCCCTAAGGGAATGTTTTGATATTTTATAGTTTTAACACATATATGTTTTGATATTTTGTTATGTAATGCAACTACACTTTTTAATTGAAGTTCAAATGCAAATACTTGTTGTACATTGTTTTGTCGGGCTGGGCAATTAATTGAATTTTAATTTTATGATTTACGATTCTGGAATTCTGAAAACAATCGAGATTAAACAATAATTATTATTTAAATGTACACAAACACATGTGCATATATATAAAATTTTGTTACATATTTTATCCATTTTTTATTCGATTTTTCAGCTGAGTTTAAGTTCAAAGGAACGCACTGTTAAAAAGAAAAAAAATTCAATAAACGTGTGATGTTTCCAAAGTCAATGAGTATTTGAGTAATCCCTATTGTTTTGTTGACTTTTTAATCACATTTTTTTGGTGCTGATGAAATCATTTTGGCAAAAAGCGAGCCGTGCGTGTGTGTTCAGTCCAACCGCTCACCTGAAACATATGTGAAGGTTTACACGAAACTCCTCATTGTCCATTACGTCTATATACAAATAAAAGGCCTCATCTGTGTGTATATCACGCCGTCTGAGAGACCTTCTCAGGTTCATCACGTTGTAGAACACAGTAAGCTGAAACAGTAAGAGAAAATGAATGTTTAAAGTCTTTGGGAGTTGTTTTCCCATTGTATCGCTTCGTAATGTAACAGCACATCTCTCCTCAATCATTCACGTCTGAAACACAAATGAACAAACATCAGGTCAATTCTGCTTTCGTGAATCTTCTGCAGAACAGAGTTCTGGACACTGTTTTACTGTTTCACTGCTTCTCAAAGCAGCTCAAGATGTTGTTGGTGTCTCAGCGTCAGCGCCTGGACCCCTTTACGTGCTCCATGGCCAGCAGTCATAGGTATAATTACACACTGGACTGAGAAAGCCATTACGTCTCTTTTTATCTTTATGGGAATTTCAGTTATTATGCACAGCTGCTGAACCTTCATAACCTGCTGTTATGAGGTGATAGCTTGATCCTGCTAAAATGTCAGGACGGTCCACTTGTTGTACCTTTTGCTGTTTTGTAGCTATAATATTTGTTTTTGTACCAGACCAAATTCTCAACCAGGGTTTTAGTGTGCTAACAGAAGTTTCCGTATTAAAAGGCATTATAAATGTATATATACAGTAATTGAGGTCTGTTTCGCACATACTGCATCTGCTGTGCATGACGTCTGTTTTGATCACAATGTACTGGCAGATGTTAACTACGAGTTTAGACATACCTGAAACAGAGCAATGCCTTTACCCTCTGCCACCACTTCAATGTCAATCCCCTCACTTGCATCAATCTGCAGAGGCAAAACAAACATTAGCATGCTTCGCTTAGCAGATCTTGACAAATTACTTAGGTTGCAAACAGTTTGCTAGTTATTTGCACTTTGAATAACTTTGAAATACTTGTGAGTTATACACTACTGTTGGGGTCGGTAAGATTTTTTAATGTTTTTTAAAAGAAGTCTCTTTTACTCACTATGTATTTGATCGAAATACAGCAAAAACAGTCATATTGTGAAATATTATAAGAATTTAAAATAATTGTGTTCTATTTGAATATATTTTGAAATGTAATTTATTCCTGTGATCAAAGCTGAATTTTCAGCATCATTACTCCAGTCTTCAGTGTCACATGATCCTTCAGAAATCAGTCTAATATGCTGATTTGCTACTCAAGAAACATTTTTGATAATTAACAATCTTGTCAAACCATGATAACTTTTTTCAAGATTCTTTGATAAATAGAAAGTTCAAAAGCATTTATTTGAAACGGAAATCTTTTGTAACATTAAATGTCTTTACCGTCACTTTTGAATTGAATGCATCCTTGCTGAATAAAAGTATTTATTTCTTTGAAAAAAAATCTTTTGAATGGTCGTTGGTGTCAGCACAGATCTAGATCTGTGTATTATACGTACGGGAAGGTCTTGGCTCTGTTGCAGCAGGTAATTGGATCTGTCTATGTTGAACATGGCAGCTCCGTTCACTGTGATGGTGAGATCCACGAACTCGCCGTTGTTGATGGTGGCGTAGACTGACAGTGCGTGCAACGCCATCACCGTATCCTGACAAAACAGAAAAACACAGAGCACAGATATTACAATAAAGCTTCAGAACTGATCAAAACAACAAAAACGGCATTCAACAAGGGAAAAAATGGGATAAGCATGTATTAAAACAGTAAATAGATTCCGTTTTGATTTCATGTGTAAATGGCAGATGTGTTCATCTCTCAGGCCCTGTTTACACCTCTTTTACTCTTTTGTCCACTTTCATCCACTTCTGTCCTGATTTCTTCGAGGAGGGTCTATGCAGGGCCGGCGCTCCGCACACGCACATCACGCGCTGCGCGTAGGGCACCAAGTGCTTGGGGGGGCACCAAAAAATCTGGGTCGTGAAAAATCATCACAATAGGCTACTAGTATAAATAACAAATAAAATATGTCTAAAGCATGTTAATATACAAAAGCAATACAAAAGTAATATAGGCCTAGACCAAATTAGTCGAGAAAAAGGTGAAAGGCACCAAGAGTCGGGGGCGAAAAAAGGAAAAAGAATAGACAGCGGGATGATACTCGCGCGTCGCTTTGCAGGTAAGACAATGTTTTAAATAAAAATGTTAGTTTTGTAGCGCGGGCGCCCTTGCGTCGTGTATGCATGTCCAGGGGGGCGTCACCAGTAGTGCAAATGAAATGATCCGTGGCTTTTTTAGCCCTGCATGTTGAATCTTTTATTTTAACGGGGGTCCGGGGCTTTCTCCCCCAGACATTTTTTAAACTTGGGCTGTTTAAGATGCAGTTAGTTTGTTTGAGAAGAAAAGGAAGACCGCTTAGATACGTTTTTTCGTTGTTGTTTTATGCGGATAATGCGTTCATTTTCAAGAGGTTCACAGGCCAAGGCCCAAGGGCGACATCTGTTGGTGAAACTGCAATTAGAAAAAAAAAAAAAACCACAATCTCAGTGTTTGTATATTTTCATATTCACAGAGTTGTCAAATTATTAGGGCTGGGAAAAGATTAATCGCATACAAAATAAAAGTTTGTGTCTACATGATATGTGTGTATACTGTGTATAATTATTTTGTATATATAAATACACACACATATGCACGTATATATTTAAGAAATATTTGCATGTATATACTGTATATATTTATATATATAATTTATATTATATATAAATTTAAATATTTTATATATAAATAACAAATATTTCTTAAATACATACATGCAAATGTGTATTTATATACACTACCGTTCAAAAGTTTGGGGTCAGTGAGAATTTTATTTTTATTTTTTGGAGGAAAGAAATCAATACTTTTATTTATCAAGGAATAGTTAATTTGATTGAAAGTGACAGTAAAGACATTTATAATGTTACAAAAGTCTTTTGAACTTCCTATTCATCAAAGAATCCAAAAAAAAAAAAAAAAAACTGTACAACTGACAGACCAACAACTGTTTCAACATTGATAATAATAATAAATGTTTCTTGAGCATCAAATCCTCATATTATACTGATTTGTGAAGGATCATTTGACACTGAAGACACTGACACTGGTGATGCTGAAAATTCAGCTTTGATCACAGGAATAAATTACACTTTACTATATATTCACACAGAAAACAGCTGATTTACACTGGAATAATATTTAATACTATAACTGATTTTTGTTGTATTTTTAATCAAATAAGCACAGCCATGGTTAGCAGAAGATAATTCTTTTAAAAGTATTTAAAATCGTACCGACCCCAAACTTTTGAACGGTAGTGTATATACAAAATAATTATACACAGTACACACACATATATCATTCATGTAGACACAAACTTTTATTTTGGATGCGATTAATCGCGATTAATCTTTTCGCAGCCCTACAAATTATGTACAGAATTATTATATTGTGCTTCAGGGGCTGTTTACACCTGGCCACTTCATGCGTTTTCTCAGATCGGATAGCTATCTGATTTATCAAAACGATTCCATTTACACCTGGTCACATAAATGTGTTTTTGCAAAACGGATATAAATCCGATCTTCAATTCCCGCGCTATAAGCAGATTTAATGGAGTGCACGTCACCGAAAGCAACAGATAAGCGCTGCATTTTATTGATCATCAGCTAATTTCAAAATCAAAGACCGCAATAAGAGAGAGCGGCAACAGCCCTGGTAAGATCATTTCGTTTCTTTACTTTTAATGAAGGTGATTAGTGTGTTAAGCGTCTGCGACTTACTTTCACTTTGATTTGCGATAGTTTGCACGTTGGCTTGATGAAGAGATCGATGCTCAGCTGCTCCTCTGCGGTAATGCGTGTTGCAGTAGCGACGTCATATCTGACTATAACATGACATATAGCCTATAACACGCTCTCACACGTTTATTTTTTAGGATTTTTGGGAGGAGTAAAATTTACATATGTGGTTTCAACAACCAGATGCATTTACACTTGTCCAGTTTCATCTGGAATGCGGCCCAGACCACCTCCTGAAGTGGTTTGAGCGATCGGATTTAAATCCGTCTCGAATGCGTTTCAGAGGGCATTTACACCTGGTCTTTTCACGATCGGATAGCTATCCGATCACAGAAAACGCATGAAGTGGCCAGGTGTAAACAGCCCCTAAGAAATTCTGAATGGTTGTTATTCCTTGGGTGGGTGAGGGGGTGAGTGGGGTGGGGGGGCACCACCAAGCATTTGTGCTTAGGGCACCCAAATGGCTAGCGCCGGCCCTGGGTCTATGGGTGGGTGAATGTATGGGCTTTTCCAGATCTTTCGATCTAATAGATGAAATAAGCTCACGCAATTTACATATGAACACGACTGGAGAAAACAGAAAAACACACGGAGAGCATCAGCTTTGCTTTCTGCACTGACAGTTTCAAGACCAGCCGAACGCTGTGAGTGTGTGTTAGACATCAGGAGTGGAGAGAGAACATTGTGCTTGGTGTGTTTTTTATCTTCCAAACAAACGTGGGTCTTTAGGCGACAAAGTTTAAATCCCTTCTAGTTAGAGAGCTTCCCATAATGTTTACTCATCAGGTCAGTAAGAGGAGAGTAGACGGTCTTTTGTAGCTGTTTGAACACATTCGACCACACGAGCGTTTACATTACGCAAGCAATCTGGTCAAATGCGTTTTCATCTACCTCTGGAAGTGGTCAGAAGTGGACAAGCTCAAACCGTTTTAGACCCCGTTTACCCCTGTATTTAGCTTCATCCACTTGTGATCCGATCGAATACCAGGTATAAACATGGCCTCAGGTGCATCTGTGTCACAGAAACCTAGCTTTCAATCTCCTGCCACCTGGTAAATAACACCGCACATGTGCAGAGCAGAGCACAAAAACAGCCGCACATTCTTTAATCTTTACATGCTCAAACAAACACCACCAGGACTCTCTTGGCAAGCGCAGTCAGATGTTCTCCTGTTGGGTTCAAGTTGTTGTGTCAAAGCAAGGGGCTTCAGCATGATTGCAGCGCTTTATCAAAGCCTATTCCCGGAAACTGCTAGTCCTCATTGAGGTTAGTGTTCCTGACAGAACGCAGGCCCCTCGCAGCCAGACATCCGGGTTATTATCATGAGTTAATTTTCTTATCTCACCTCTATGGCCTCTCACACATCTTGATTTCTAATTGAAACATTCGCCTGCCAATAAGTTCATTTCCCTGAATCAATGGGTTTGTTAGATCAAAGATGTGAGTTATCATAAACACTGGGACATTAATAAATACCTCAATAGATGTTAAAGCCTGTTTACTTTCTTAAAGGAATATTTCCAGGTTCATTTGTGGCGTGATTTCCACTTGTCCCTCCTTTTCTTTAAAAAAAGCAAAAACCTGAGGCTCTTACAGTGGTGAATAAGTGAATCCACAAACATTCAAATACTCACGGTTTCAATAGTACAGCAATAGATATTAAACAATATTTCAATATTACTTTAGCATTAAAAATGTTTACGAATCTCTTCCGTTTAAAGTTCAAATAAGAGTTTTCAGAGAAAAACTAATGTAAGTGCTTTTATAAATTTATAAGCAACACATTTCTGCTTTTAAATCTTTTATATCTTAAAAATTGTCCACTTTCACTTCCATTGTAACACAGTGTTTCTAAAATGTCGACATTCCTTTCAGGAGCCTAAAATTGCGTTCTACGTTCGGTCATTCTGTCCCATATAAACAGTTTCTATTGTCTTTCATGAGTTTAACGTCTGTTTGACACACCTGAGTGGATCCGTATCCCCCGAGATGGTTTCTTTGCTGACTGAGCCACTTCATCAGACTGAATCCTTCATCTATTAGTTTCAGGCTGTACATGGAGAGCAGTACATATGCAGATATCTCGATGTCGGCTGAACGCGGCTGCCAGGAATTGTACAAGATGTCGCCTGGAGATCTCCAAGTTGGCACTCCATCTGAAAGACCCAGAATGCAGCGTCACCATCCAACTATTATAAACACATTAACGTTTAACACATTTTACTGTGCCAGGTACAACACTTATCCATAACAGTACAGCTGGTCGCCACACTATGTGAAATTAAAGGAAACTTATCGGTTATTTTCTTATGGGTTGTGTATGTTTCACATTTGTGGCATGCTGTCGATTACCACAGGCAATAGTTTCACCCTTCAGAGAGTATATGCAGGGTATATTTACCGACAACTAGTGCTCTGTTCAACAGCTGGGTGAGGGCAGATGGAGCGCTGGTGCTGTTGGCCAGTGACAGAGCATAGGTGACTAAAGACAGGCTGTAGTTACTGGAGATTCCCTGAGCCAGTCGAGACTTCAGGAAACTCAAGGCAGAAGACACACTGCCTTCATATGAACTCTACCAGGAGACACAAACAGTCTTCAATCAATCAATAGTCTGCAATCAATCAATCTGTCTATCTATCCATCTATCTATCTATCTATCTATCTATCTATCTATCTATCTATCTATCTATCTATCTATCTATCTATCTATCTATCTATCTATCTATCTATCCATCTATCCATCTATCCATCTATCTGTCTTTGATAATCTATCTATATATCTGTCTGTATGTCTGTGATAATATATCTATCCATCTATCTATATGTCCATCTATCCATCTATCTATCTATATGTCTGTATGTCTGTGATAATCAGTTTCAGTTTCAAGATTTATTTGTCACATACACAGTTATACAGAGTACAACCTGTAGTGAAATATAAAATAGGGTCCACTCCAAAATAGTGCAATATTATAAAATACTAGACATAAATTAACAATTTAGATAAATAAGATAAAATTCCTAGTAATATAAATCTGTAATATAGGCTAAACTGGTAATATTTACATACAGAAATGTGCAGACATTGGTAACGAAGTACTTACATAGCAGCAGTGTAAAGTGCACAATGATGCAAGAAAAGTGCACAATGATGCAAGAAAAGTAGCTGCATTATAATAAAGCAATGGCTGACGAGCTGGATCTATCTATCCATCTATCTATCTATATGCCCATCTATCCATCTATCTGTGATAATCTATCTATCTATATGCCCATCTATCCATCTATCTGTGATAATCTATCTATCTATATGTCTGTATGTCTGTGATAATATATCTATCCATCTATATGTCTGTGATAGACATCTCTCTATCTATGGTAAATGGACTGCATTTATATAGACCCGCTTTCACAGACCCAATGGCCACCAAAGCGCTTTACATATTGCCTCACATTCACCCATTCACTCACTCATACACCAATGGCGGTGTCAGCCATGCAAGGCGCCATCCAGCTCGTCGGGAGCAGCCGGGGTTAGGTGTCTTGCTCATGGACACCTCGACACTTGGTCAGGTGGAACCGGGGATTGAACCACCAACCTTCCGGTTTGTAGACAACCTACATGAACCACTGAGCCACTGCCGCCCACATCTATCTATATGTCTGTATGTTTATCTACCTGTCTGAACTCACCTTGTATTCAGCGTCCTCCAGAAGTGCTATGAGGACGTACGCTGTGAGAGACACAGGTCCATCTAGACCGCCCTGGAGCTCTGTGTGAATGACCTGACCCGGCTCTCTGAACGACCCGTCAGGGTCCTGATGGACAGACAGCCAATATGCTGTCCTCTGCATCACCACCGGGTCAATGGAGATGAAGGCCTGAGCCTGGAGGAAACACCTGAGCACGAACGCTGACAGCCTGAATATCACAAAGCAAATCACCAATCACTCATACACTTGATTTGTGTTTGATTTAATTTTCACCCATCGGTTCTGAAGTCAGTACTGAACTAGAAAGACTATGGGCCCTATTTTAACGATCCAAGCGCATGGTCTAAAGCGCACGGCGCAAGTGCACTTAGGGTGTGTCCGAATCCACTTTTGCTAGTTTAACAACGGGAAAAATGGTCGGGGCGCATGGTCTAAAAGGGTTGAACCTATTCTCTTAATGAGTAATGGGTGTGCTTTGGGCGTAACGTGCATTACACAAATCATAATCTCATCTCCCATTCCCTTTAAAAGCCAGTTGCGCTCGCGCCATGGCGGATTCACTATTTACATGGCGCATGGCGGTTCTGCTCATGTGCGAGATTAAAGCTGTGTGTGTGCGCAAGGTTAATGCACACGAGCAGACCATATGGGAAAAGCCGGATTCCACCATATCTTTATGAACACAATATTAATCTTTTACATTGTAATCCTTTTATTTTTAATATTTGGCTAGTTTGTGTGCTGCTGCGCATCCCTGTGTGTAATAAGCAGAGTGTACGTGCGTTGTGGACCAGCCTATAGGCGCAAATTACTAATGGACCCTTTAAATAACAAACAAAAAAAATATTGCGCAGTCTATTTCAGTTGCCTCAAAATAGCAACGCGTCAACAATGCGCATGAACACACCTCGTTTTCAGACCAGCAGTCCATGGGCGAACAGATGCATTTGCTATTTAGACAACGTGGCGCAGGACGTGAAAATGATAACTGCGTCGGGCTGAAACTAGCAAAAAACACTTGCGTTGTGCCTGGTGCCGCATTGTGCCGGGTGTGTGATAGGGCCCTACTTTTTTAGGGTACAGTTTAAGCTGTGCTGTATTTATTTATGTATACCATGTGCTGCCAGAATAATCACTGTCTCCGAAAGCACTGAAGGAGCCATCAAGCCTTTGGTAGGAAAGCTCACGTTCATAAGCTGCAATCAAACAGAACAGACTTGTTAACTCAAGGACTTCTGCTGTGTTTCTCAGGACTTTAAGATTTCACAATACTCACCTTCCATCATGTAGCTCATAGCCTTGCTCCTGGTCTGTTCCTCGGCTTGCTTGGTATTTCTCAGATACTCCAGAACATAAATATTTGGAGCAAAATGGATCATGTTCTGCTCACCACAACCGTAAGGCATTTCAATGAGAGTGTCCAGATTTCCAATGGATGGGCCCAGAATGTCACCTTCAACATAGACACATATAGAAGAGGGTCAGATAAGATGTTTGCACTCAAAAGAAGCCTGATAACAGCCAGAAAACCTCTTACAATAGAAACACAGGGTGAAGACACATACCCACAGCAGATACAGTGGCCCTCTGGCTGTCAGAAACCACATCTGCAGGAAAACTAAAGGCCATCGTCCTAGACACCGTGTTCTGGTTCAGGGGGAACTCCAGAAACAATGTTTGAGTTGACGACTGCTCCAGTCCCTCTGGCTAGAGAGAAATCATTCAACACAAAAAGAGTTTAGAAGGATTTTCCACTTTCCCAGCTGCTACACACTATGATAGCATTTGTTGTTTGTTAAATATAGAATATTCAAAAATAATGTTTTGTTTTTTTTTATCATAAAAAAAATGTAATAATGCAAAAATTAATTGTTGTACTGTCTTTAATTTAATATGAATGCTTTACAGATTTTGCTTTGCTGTAATAAATATAGAATCATCAAAAATAATGAGAAAAACAGCTAAAAATGTCCAGATGCATTACAGTCATAACCATATGAGGAGAAATTTAGCTTAATTGTCAAGTCAAGTCATCTTCATTTATATAGCGCTTTTAACAATGTAGATTGTTTCAAAGCAGCTTTACTGTCATGATTCTGCCATCTTGTCTTTGATTTCACTGGTCTTGTGGCAGGATCATGGCAGACCCATGTTTTATGTACAAGCGCATGGTCTGTTATTTGGACCATGTGCTTGTGTTGTCTCGTCTCGTTACCCCGCCCCCTTGTTATCCTCGTCTTGTGATTATTGTCTAGTCAGTTTCACCTGTCCTCGTCATTAGTGTTCCCTATTTAATCCTCTTGTATCTGCTGTCTTTTGTCGGTTCATTGTGATTGTTACCTGAGTGTTAATCCTTGTCAAACCTTTGTCAGAGTCTGTGAGTATCTTGTCAAGAGTTTTAGTCCTGTTGCGCTATTGCCTGTAAAGGTTATTTGTGTCCCTATAGTTATCTGTCTCAGTCTTGTTAGTCTACATAGTCCTGTCTTGTTTTGCCCCCTCGTGGGCTTTGTTTTCCAAGTTATTTGTTTAATAAATCGTGTTGCCTTGACTACTGTCTGCTATTGGGTTCATCCTTCCTCATCCTCATAACATTTACAGAGATAAACATACAATTTACGGGATTTGTCAAGAAAATAATGTCAAAATTCAAAACTAAATTGTTGTACTGTCTTCAATTTGTTTAAATAAAAACTTGAATGCATTACACATATTGCTTTGCTCTAAGAAATATAGAATCATCAAAAGTATTTCAAGAATGTCAACATTGGCTTAACTGTAATGAAAATAATGTACAAATAAATAATGGTCCTAAAAACAAACATACTTTTCTTTAAAATAGGACCTTTTTTATATCATGCTGGCATGAATCACCTTGACGAGAACAGTCTTGTAGACCCAGTCTGAGGAGTAGATGGACGTGGCTTTGACAGAGATGGGAATCTCTCCCGGGACTGTGGCTCTGATGGGGAACAGGAGCGTCGTAATGTTCTGACTCAACACTGAGACTTTCCTCACATTGTTCATCGAAAATTCTCTATTGTCTGGTGACACAAATTCAAACCCCAAACTCTCTGCAACAACAACCATCACCTGTGAAGGGCAAAGACATGAAGAGAGCTGTTTTCAGCAGACTATAATTCACTTACAACAGAACAAGCCTACAGTAACCTGTGTTAAAGTCAACATGAAACCGCATTCGCAAGCTATTTTACTTTCATTTAGCTGTGCCCTAGAGTTTAATATTGTGAGTCAGGGATTTGTTCAAATAACTTGAGCAACAATAATAATAATACTGAGCAAATACTTTCCACGTGCACAGTCCCAGCTAACAAAAATATGTTCCAAGAACATTTTACTAACGTCCCCATTAAGTTGTGAAAACGTTATTTCTGAATGTTCCCTGAACATTCAAAACGTCCAGTTTCTTTAAATGTTTTTCTTGGTTATACGAATGTTCTAATTTTAGAATTTCTCTGAACATTCTAAAACAAGTAGTGACATTCAAAAAATGTTAGAAGAATGGTAAACTAAAAACGTTTCAGAAGAAATAACGTTCCATTAATGATTTATAAAATAAAAATCTTGTGCTAAAGTTTTAAAAAACATTATTAAAGACCAGATAACTATTAACAAACATTATTTAATGTTACTGGAAGAATGTTTCTTCATTACTTTGGGAGAACATTGCCAAAGTTCTGAGAACATTCCCTGTTAGCTGGGTTACTAACTGTTTTACAAACACAAATCTCACCTCCAAATCCTCATCCATATAGTTAAATAAATTGACTTCCAGCAGGAGCAGTTCCCCACGGATCAGGAACGCCGGGAGATTCAGTGACAGGAAGAAATCTTTGAACACGGTGAGCTGGGAAACATTCTCCTTTTTAATAATCAGTTATACATACTAATATTCAGCGATAGGTAAACTGTACACGATGCCTCACCTCTGCAGGAGCGCTGATGCCCAAACCCAGATTCTCTGACATCACGATGGCAAAGGCCACCCAAGAGGTCAAGCTGTCCGGCACGGTCACCGGGAAGGAAGCCGTGGCAGAATTACTGCAACAGAATGAAAAACAGACATAAATCAGTCAGTTGCTTGCATTAAATGAATGTGGGAACTTTGGAGAATTTGATGAGAAACATTTGAATTCCTATTGTGATATTAATGTATCTGGGCAAATATGAGCACAGAGACTTCTTCTGTTGTCTTCTGAAACTCTACAGGATGACTGATAGTACTGCGCTCTTTTTTTTGGGTTAAAATATTTGCTCTCCATTTCGTCGCAATGCTGTCTAGAATAAATTATTACGATATTAAAGAGATGATGTGATTTTTCATTCTTAAGTGATTGTATAGTGTAAACAATCAAAGCTATTGATCAGAAGTTGCTTGATCATAGCTCAAAAAGAATTTTTTAATACAGTTAGGTATTATCCTAGTGAAAATCAGCTCGATGACAGACATAGTTCTCCTCGTACCTCATATTAGCATCCAGCCAGATCCAGGTTTCAGGAAAGTCTTTTCGCTGTCTAGGCTCTTGAAAACCCACATCAGCCATCTGATCCACATAGAGTCCCTCCCCTGCTGTGGAACCCATGAGCATTAGTGAGAAAACCATTGAACCAGAAGACACTACAGGCAAACCATTGTTTTTTCAGGCACTGGTCAATTTTGAGCAGACTAGTGGAAAGAAAACATCCAAAATACACATTTAAGTGGTGTGTTTCAATGATCAGTTCTTGGTCCACTACTATTTCTAATTTATATCCTCTTGGCCAGATCATTAAACATCATGGACCTTATGTTCATACACAAATTTATTTTCCTAACCAACCCAATTCATTCTTTCCAATCTGGGAGAACTGTTTGATTCTAAATTATGTTTTGAACCATATCTCCCAGCTTGTTAAATCTTGGTTTCTGCACCTTCGCAATATTGTTCGCATAAGTCCTTCACTTTACCATAAAGATGCTGAAACTGTTATCCAAGCTTTCATAACCTCTAGACTGGGCTATTGTAACTCATTGTTTATTGGCCTACCAGCTAAATTCCTTAATCGCCTGCAACTGGTACAATAGTCTGCTGCTCGTGCCCTTAGATTTGAGCAACAAGTGAGCTGAAATATTTATGTAGAGAGCATAATTTGGTCTTGGAAAAACTTAAGAAATGTTTGAGTGCATATTGAGATCAATATGTCTTGCCTTAAGAAAATGTGAGTGGTGCAAATCTCGTCGATGTGACTGTGTTTTAGGTGGTTGCCAGGGCGTTACTATGTGGTTGCTAGGGTGTTCTGAGGGGTTGCTTGGGGAGGTTTAGCTTTAAGACTTACGAAACGCAGGGAACAATTGACTCTTCTCCTGATTCAGCCTGGCATCTGTCAGAACCGTGACACCGCACATCTGAAGAATGAAACAGTGTCCATAAACCATGTGTGGAAAAGTGATACATTTCTGTTCCTGAGATAACAATCAAACATCATATGACATTCATGTGTCTGATCTACCATGAATATGGAATACGGATCTCCCATTTTCATGCTGCTGTAATCTGTATGGGTCATCTCTGCGCTATATGACATAAATTCTTCAAGCACCTGCAAAACACACACACACACACACAAAAGATCATTTTGCTGATCTTAGATCAGGATAAGCTGCTCTGGAGTCAGTGTTTGCTGATCACAAACCAGCTATTGTTATAAATCACATCCAGAACAACAAACTGAACTACACAATGGTGTCTGCATTATCAAACCCGTTCACCTAGTTCTGATAAACACAATTACTCTCAGTTTCTTCCTTTTGTCGACAAGTGAAATTCGGGCGTGGTGTTGGCATTTGGTTACATAGGATGACCGGCTTTACTTATCTTGAGATCTTTTTGTGGGAACTAACAATCGTGTGAAATCCCAAAGTTAATTTCCCACACTTTAAACCTCAATACACTGAACGAGACAAGACATCAGGTGAGAGAGTTTGAAAACAATGGATCTCCATATTGCCCCAGTGTTGATGTCTCATGTTATTATGAGAGCGTAAATGATCTATAATCTCTAGTAGACCATATTACCTTCGTCTCTGTAATGCCATTGTCTTTGTTGGAGTCCATTGTTGCTTTGTCCACCACCAGAATTCCCACCAGAGACCCAGGCTCGGACACGGAAACGGAGAGAGATACAGATTCTCCCGGCCCGGCGCGATCCTGACTCCAGCTCAGAGATACCTGCAGTTTAGATCAAGTCAAATTCATGATTATAATGACATTGCAACCCATTTTACTTCTTTAACGTGACACATTTCAGAGTGGAAAAGGATATTCAACAAGAATAATTCAATATTCAAATAACCGCATTTAATATAAATTCGTTTTTATTTAATTGCAACTAACATTAAATGAAGAGTCCAAAAACATTACATTCAGTTTGCACTTGATTATGTGAAATATAATTTCTGTAATTAAAAGCATGCAAAAGCAGACTGAACTTAGTCCAATTATTTCACAAATTATTTAATTGTGAAATGTTTCATCAGAAAATAATACATAATGTATGAAAAATAGTATATTTGCATGTCCATATTCTGCACACTTGCAATTAATGGGTTACATGTAATTCAATAAATTAATAAAATATAATTTAAGTAAAATAAATTTGACTGAAATTTCAGATTTTATATGAAATACATTCTTTCTGTTTAACCCCTTCATGGCATTTTGTCCTTCATATAATATTTTTTTATCTTTCTGACATAATATTTTATATTATATATCTTTAGATTATATATAATATATCTTTATCTGTTCTGGTTTCGTCAAGCTCAGTAGTTAATTTTTTGTCTTAAATTTGGATATTCAACAAGAAAATCCATCAGGAATTGAGTATGAAATGCTTTAAGCATAAATCTTTTGTTATTTGATTTTCTTACTGTAACTTATTATATTAACATTAATATAGGCATTACATTATAGGTAGGAAAGATAACATACAGCAGTAGCCTAAAACAATGACTATTTAATTAATTGAAGAATAAAATGAATCACATTTATGAATATCCACCCTCTCATTTCTAAAGTTTTTTTCCAAACTATGATATGTAATGCCGTGATGTTTCTGTTGTCCTGAACTCTTACTGTGTTACTTAGGACTTGTGTGAAAGTAACTTGTAGAGCATCATTGACGATCTCTCCGTCTGGAAGCGTGTAGTACACCATCACACAAGCCAGTGGAGTCCAAGACTGATCTGTGTTCAGACTGAAGGAAGAGGAGTCTACCGTTCCAGCATCCACCACCCGACCACGGGACATCACCTACAACACACAGGCTCGTTCTCACAAATGCCCAAATCACTCACTACAGATATCATTAACAGGATACCCGTGTGAAAAAGAATCATGTTTTTTAAATGTAATGATTTATAACAAAGCATCATTTGAAATATGGAATTACTAATATCATTAAATAATTTGACATAAAAGTCGAAATTATGACATACTAAATCAAAATTGTGAAATTTGTGAAATTATGATTATAATTTAATCATTTCAACATTTTATCTCATAATTATGACTCAGTATTTCAGAATTTTGACTTTTTTTTCTCATAATTATGAATTTGCTTCTCATAATTTCCCCTTTTTGACAGTCAAATTTATGATTTTGTTTGTCAAAATTTTGACATTTTATGTCATAATTAAAATTTACGAAAGCAATTTTGTCATTAATGACAAAAGTCAAAACTATTATTTAGTATGTCATAATTTTTATCTCATAATTATGACTTTTTTTGTCATAATTTCCCTTTTTTTGTCATCAAAAAGTAAAAATGATGTCATAATTATGTCTTAGTAGGTCAAAGTTTGACTTTCTATGTCAAAATTAAGATTTACCAAAGCACTTTCTTTCTTATGTGGCAGAAATGGGCTTCCAAATCAAATGGATTATCCCTTATAGAAAATACTTACAATGTAGTGGAATTTGGTCAGGTCGAAATTGCTCTCCAAAGTCAAGTACAGCGGCTGTCCGACCTGCAAAAGTCACCCTGTCAGTGCAAACTCAGTGAAAACAAACATAACACAAACAGCTTGAGTACCTGAGGCTCGCTGTCTCTGTGAAGCTGTATGTAGGATCTACTGGGTGAAGAATAACTCTTGTAGAGCTGAAGACGCTGGACTGTGTCTTCAAACCGGGCCTGAAACCAACATCAGGAGGAAGCACTGCTTAGTGCTCGGCTGCATCCCAATTTACATACTTCTACTATGCATAACGCATATCGAGGCAATGACAAATGTGGATGAAGTGTTCGCACCTCTATATCAAGTGTGGCAACGCTGTCAGAGAGCTGAACCTGAAATGACATCACCCCATCAGCAGCAACTGGAAGCTGGATCTCTTGGACTGGAATATCGTCCATGGGAGAGAAGCTTGACGTCGGCGTGCTGTTCATCATGCGAGGCACCAGGGATTCCTTCTCGTTCCACATCCACGTCCAGGGGCTGAACTTGTGCTGGGTCACCGCCAGCTGCACACTTCTGCTCTGTTCTTCAGCACTCAGGGCCCGCTGGTCATAGCTGGTTAACTTCACCTGGGAAAACAGAAAAACATTTGAAAAGTTTGAAAGAATGAATCTCACAAAACCTGTTGGTCATGCCTGGGTCATATTTCACTAACTAACTATAGCCCCTTTCACACAGAGATTCCGGAAAATACACGGATAAAGCGACCCGGGATTTGACCCGGGTTCGTTTGATTTTGGTTCATTCACACTGCCAGTGATTTTCCGGAATCCGAGAGTGCGTTCACACACAACCCGTAAAAATCCCGTAAAGACACGTGACATCGATGTGACATGTAATGTCTCAGCAGCGTGTATAGTTTGCTTATGAGCTGCGATTTCTCTCTGGAGAAACCACGCTTGTGCATTTTTTTCTCTGATTCGATCATAAACTAGCGCATTACGTACCGTTTCACTACCCTGCTTTCACTTCAGCGTCATCATTACGACACGGCATTGGTTACGGCTTTTGTTCACACAGCGCGCGTTCCGGTGTTGTGCCGAATTTCGACCCCCGCCAAATTATTACCCCCCTAGCATTGGTAGGTTTAGGATTAGTTGTGGGGGAGGGGGTAGGATTAGGGGTGGGGTTAGGATTAGGCAATCAGGTACTAACTTCAACGAGGGGGGTAATAATTTGGCAGGGGGTCGAAATTAGGCACAACACCGGGACTGATCCCGGCAATGTTACTAGGTCCCCAACCCGGCATCGATCCCGGCATCAATCCCGGGTCGTGTTTGCGTTCACACAGAAGGCGTTCTGGCAATTTCCCGGGATCAACACGCTGTGTGAAAGGGGCTTAACTAATTCTAACTAAGCAAATAAATAAAGATTGCATAAAGATCATTTACCAATTTTTTGCATAATGACAATTAAACAATTAAAGAAAATTAAGAATATTCTTTAGAACCATTAAGATTTTTGCATTGTGATATTATTTTCACAACAACTTTATTATATATAAATAAAACAGGTATTATATTATATGATTTATTATTTAAATACAGCCATTAATGTGAATATAATTATATTTTATTTAAATGCTGTCATTAATGTGAAAAATAATATTTTATTTAAATGCTGTGATTAATGTAAAAAACAATGATACAGTATATAATTTAAATGCTGTCATTAATGTGAAATAATTATATTTTATTTAAATACTGCCAGTGCCATTAATGAAAAGAATTATGATATATCATTTAAATATTGTCATTAATGTGAAAATAATTATAAACACAATTATATAAAAACTATTTTATATATTTATTCTATATTATTTATAAATCATTGTAATATTTTTGGACTGCCTTTAATTTATGCTAATTTTGTGTAATAAAGTAAAAGCATTGTAATAATTAAAATATCTACACAGTAATGAAACAGAGATGTCTTAAGGGTAATTGTCATGAAAATAATTTTACAATACAATAAATCTTAATGTTTCTAAAAATAGGCTTAATGTTTTTTTTTAATGTAAAATATCATTTCTTATTTTTCTCTTTGATTTTTAGAGTGAAAAATGACCTGTGGCCAGTCACAAAAACTGCTTAGGCTAGTCTTAAAAGTTAAATTGTTTCTTCAAGACTGGTCCTAACTTTTTTAAGTCAGTTACATAAACCCATTGGTTAACTGCTAGTTGGTCAAACTAGTTATTTAGACACAGTCTTAACATAGTGGCCCCTGGTCCTGGACACGTTCAAACAACTCACCAAATTCACCCAAAATTCACTCAAAATATGGACCCAGGGTTCGTACAGACTCTGTCAAATGAAATTCCAGGACTTTCAAGGACTTTTCAAGCACTACTTTTTTGGATTTCAAGGACTTCAATCGGCACTTATCAAACAATATCCTGATTATTATTTGTACTTATTGATGTTTCAATTCAGAGAGGTGAATCCATTGACCAGCGCTGTCAGGCATGGGAAATCGCCTTAACCATTGAAAGGATATCCCCCCCATATTAATATATATGATTGACCTGAAGAAAGAAAGTTGTATTATATACTTATCATATACTTAATATCATGCTCATAGCCATGAGAAATAGCTCTATATCTCAGACGGGCTGCAGCGTTGATTTAGCGTGAAACAATTGTATTTTTTCAACAACAACAAAAAAAAAAAATCACAATATTTTGAATTAGGGATGGACCGATACCACTTTTTGCAGAACGGGATACCGATACTGTAACCGATCCCTGAATTTTCACTGCATTTGTAATTTTTAAATTTATTAGTAATAATCATATTAGTTGGCTTAATTTGTTCATCAAATATATATTTCTTTCAATTATTTGCATGCTTAAATAAGCCTGCTAAAATGCATTGTATGAGCTTTTGTAACTGTACATTCTACTGCTCTATCATATTTTATATTTCATTGAATAGCACAGCACATATTTAGACTAGAGCAGCTCCAGAAATGTCAGTGCTGAGAATTGGGTCAGTGGTACAAATGTTTAGACACCAGTGAAATATAAATTATTGAATCCAATTTTGATACAATAAAAACTGCCAGCCTAATTAATGTGAATTTAAAACATTATTAAAAGGTAAGCAGTCAGCAACAAAATAAAACGAATAATCAACTTACAAATAAATACAACAGAACAAAGAAAGGCTACAAATTACTGGATAAATTAAATATAGATGGATCTTTTGAAAGTTGAAAAGGGTAGACTATTTAGTCAAGAGCAGTGAGTAATTTGTCCATTCATTGTTTGATTAACATTAAAACAGCAGTGGGTTTATTGAAGTGCTGCCCCTTTAAGACCGAACGCACGGACCCCATGGCTACGTTCACTTGATATACCTGACTTTGTTTACTAGGATACTCGCAGTCGCAAATATGGGCATTTTTACATCATTTTGTGTGAATTCCTCCGCACAAGCACAAGACGTGAAAGACAATTCAATTCAGTATCCGCGCGCTGAAACGCTGGTTTCTGGGTGCGCGCTTTGGATGTTTGCGTTCATGAAACTTATTGACTGCAAACGTCCAGTAATAATGTAGGGAATCACTCGTTATACATAAATCAGGTAACAGGTCATGTTTTACTTTACTTGATTTAATTGTCATCCAAATAACACGTGCTGAGTGAACGATTTAGCAATCAAGAGCATTCAACAGAACTGCGCTGTCTCTCGTCAGTTAACGTTAATAATAAGCTAGTAGCTACATGCTTGTTTTATTTTATTTGCCATTGACATCCGACTAAACTACAAACCTTCCACTGATGTCTGTTTAAAGAGATGTGCTCGACCAGCTCGCGTGTCTGCTGCTGCGCGCTCAATCCACTGCGCGCGCGGTTTTCTCTGATGATCAGCTCGCGCACCACAGCTATGCGTTACTATACACACGCTGCCTAGTAGGCCTATCGGTAATTGGTATCGTAGCATTTTTAAGAACTACATGAGCTCGGTATAATTCACGCACTTTTCAAGTACCTCTTCAAAAATATGGCTGTTTTCAAGGGTTTTCCAGGACTTAAATTTCAAATTTCAAAAGTCAAATTCAAGTACTTCAAGCACTTTAAGCACCTTGTACGAACCCTGTGGACCGAAATGTAATGCTAATAAATTTTCGTCTGTCTTTACCTGAGCAGTGAAGGTCATGGAGGGTTTAATGATTTGTGGATGTTGCAGAAACTCTAGATGATATTTATTATCCACAATAGAAACCCTTACACTACTGTTGCATGTTAAACCTACAGGCAGAGAAATGAAAATCAGCTCAAATTAAATATGAAAGGACATCTTCAGTTATGTATTAATTTGCATGCAGATTGGTTAAAGTTATTTGATAGCTGGATCTAAAGTAAACAGGACGGGACATACCTGTAACGCCCTCTGTGACGTTCACGGTAATGTCGATATATTCACTTGGCCCGTATCCATCATAATATGAATATGTGTAATCTGAAGTGAGTTTGTACAATAACGCATCAAATGTGATATCAGCAGATCCGTCAATCTACACCGGAAATAGCAAGTCAGATTAACAGTTAAACAAACGTAAACTTCAAAATTGAATTTGAATTTTGTACTCACCGTTTCACTGTGTTCGTAACGTCTATCGAGGCCATTGAATACATGAATATATGTCACAGACATCAGCCCACTGACGGGCTTCCCATAAAAATATCTGAGAAAAAAAAGAAAAAGTATTGTTAGTGTGTTTCTAATGAATAATAATACAACTATTGTTCAGGACAAAATAACGCTCACTTTGCTGTGACCGTCCCTGTCAGCGTGTCTTCATAATGCAGGACGGAGGGGACGTTCACCTTCACCTCAAATCTAGGAAGCACTGTAAACATATATTTAAGATTAATGTCTGGAAAAAACATTGATCATAAACGATAAGTATCATATGTGAAATCTCACCATAGTAGTCCACAATGAACGATCTCTCCTGTATAACATCCTGCGTGTCCAAAATAACAGTGTTTAGAAAAGAGCAATAAAGCTGGAATTAAATCAATAACGTTATAGAACTAAAGGCCCGTTTACACCAAAGGCGAGAAAGATAACGATAAAGATATCGTTCTAAAAGTCGTTCTCAATATTGAAGAGTAACGTTAGCAGAGTTCACACCACAACTATAACGACGGCACAGAGAAGCGAGCGATATTGTGATCACTTTCTAAACGATTTTATCCAGCTGATGAACGATAAAAAAATGTTTTACAGCCAATCAGAATCCTGAGCTGGAGCATTTAGTGACCGACATGCACACGCTTAGAATAAACAGAACGATATCCGCTGGTGTGAACTAAGTTATCTTTATAGTTATGGATGTCGACAGGCCTTAAGGGATAGTTCACTTTGAAATTAATTTTTGGTATGTTTTAGCTTACCTCAAGGGCATCCAAGATGTAGGTGTCTTTGTTTCCGCAGTAGTTTCAATTTTGATATTTTTAGGTCAAACCGTTCTTGTCTGTCAGTCATATAATGCAGGTCTATAGTCACCACCTCAAAGAGCATACACAGAGAAGTCCAAATTAAACATGATTTAATGACTCGTAAATGTAAGTACACACTGATGGCCTAAGACACGAAACGAGCGGTTCGTGTGAGAAAACGAACAGTATTTATATCGTTTTTACCTCTTGTAACCACAGCCACGTCCAAGTGATCTGAGGGCGCGGGCGCTTCTGTCTGTGCAAGCGCCGGAAAGCGCCGGAAGTGATCTCACGCGCGTGTACGTCACTCATTATTTACACAGAGATTTCGGAAGTGTTACCTTTCACTGTGAAGATCTAAACATATTTAGATATACAGGAAATCGCAATGGAAGACGATTTCGATATATCAACAGACAACGTTGAATTTTTTTCGCAACCGCGTGAGAGATCACTTCCGGCGCTTTCCGGCGCTTGCACAGACAGAAGCGCCCGCGCCCTCAGATCACTTGGACGTGGCTGTGGTTACAAGAGGTAAAAACGATATAAATACTGTTCGTTTTCTCACACGAACAGCTCGTTTCGTGTCTTAGGCCATCAATGTGTACTTACATTTACGAGTCATTAAATCATGTTTAATTTGGACTTATCTGTGCATGCTCTTTGAGGAAGTTACCATAGACCTGCATTATATGACTGACAGACAAGAACGGTTTGACCTAAAAATATCAAAATTGAAACTACTGCGGAAACAAAGACACCTACATCTTGGATGCCCTTGAGGTAAGCTAAAACATACCAAAAATTAATTTCAAAGTGAACTATCCCTTTAAAGGGTTAGTTCAACCATAAATGAAAATTATCCCATAATTTACTCAACCTCAAGCCATAGGTGTAGGCCTATACACTCTTTTACTGCCATTCTTTTTCCAGCCAAACACAATCAGAGTTATATTAAAAAATATCCTATAGGTCTCCAAGCTTTATGATGGGAGTGAATGCTACATTAGATTTTGAAGCCCCAAAAAGCCCATCCATCCATCCTAAAAGTATTCATACGGCTTCAGTGGGTTAATAAAGCCCTTCTGAAGCAAAGCATTGCATTTTTGTTAGAAAAATATCCATATTTATAACTTTATAAACTATAATGATTGGCTTTCGGTAACGGCCGTACGCGAGTCTAGTTCCGGTGGAAGAGTGACCTCTGACCCGACGCATGAATAAAGAAAAATAAGAAAAATGAGCTTGAGTTTGTTGCCCAGCCCTATTAGTTTGAACCGCAAGAGGTGTCAACTAAGATTACTGTCACTCTCATCTAAGATTACGCTACTCCTACTAATGTCATACACTAGAACTCGACTTGATTGTGAACGCGTGCATCGACATTACCTGAAGCTAGTTATTACAGTTTATAAAGTTATAATTCATGAGTTTGTGTGCTCATATAATCTTTGTCTAAGTGGTAAACATTTTTGACTTCCTGTCTGCTATAAAGGGGCTCAGGGAGGAAATTCTATTCAAGCTCTGATTGCCCCCCTTTAACACAAGCAAAAAAAATTACAAAAAGGAGGAGAAGGGGAGGAAGAGGGATGCTGAAAGAACTAACGACGGGAAGAGGTAAGAGGCTGTTTTGTATATATACCTTGGTAATAATTAGAAGATTAGATGGGCGTACTCCTCCGAAATTACGTTTAATAACTTTAATAACTACAAAAACGTATGCTTCGCTTCAGAAGGCCTTTATTAACCCACTGAAGTCGTATGAATTACTTTTATGATGGATGGATGTGTTTTGGGCTTCAAACTCAAAGGTACCCTTCACTGCCATTATAAAGCTTGGAAGAGCCAGAATATTTTTTTAATATAACTCTGATTGTGTTGGGCTGAAAGAAGAAAGTCATATATACCTAGGATGGCTTGAGGGGGGAGTAAATTATGTGATAATTTTCACTTTTGGGATGAACTAACCCTTTAAGTCTAAATCAAAATAAAGCTTTTTGCATTTTCTGGGTGTGCATGATGAATGTCTGCGCAAAACTTACTGAGCACAGTTTTAGGGTGTTGTGGGTGGTTGACAGTACAATTCTATGTTTTTTCAAGTGGTTTTTAGAGTGTTGCTATGCAGTTGCTAAGGTGCTCTCAGTGTTTTAGAGTGTTGCTATGCAGTTGCTAAGGTGCTCTTAGTGTTTTTAGTGTGTTGTGTTGCGATGCGAAGGTAATATATGGCTTTACGTTGTTGCTAAGGCAACTGGTCATTCCTTAAAGGTAATTCAGTGGGATTTTTTCAGCTGTTCTGTCGTTCACCAGGTGGTGACTTTCCACTCAAGTTTGCACGCAACTCACGTGGATTCCTGCTACAATTTTCCATGGGCCAAGCGGTGGGTTCTGAGAGAGTTTCAGCTCTTTTGAAACAACACCTAGAACACCGTCCACAGACAGCCACTGTCGAATCATATTCCCCTTGGGATCCTGGTCACATTAAAAACACAAAAACAAAGGAATAAGGTTTGTTCCCTCCATCCCTCAGTAGCCTACTCCAGACCGTAGTGATGGGTGTATTCAAAACACTGCTTCATGATGCTTTGAAACCTTTGCGAATAATTTTCTTCAAATCAGTGACTCGTGGCACGCATTAAACTGCCAACGTCAAGTGATTTCAATAAACGAGTGTTTGTTACGTCGTAAGAGTTTTGAAATGTTTAGAAATTTTAGTGGTTCACCGCTAGGAGGCGATTATCTCTGCGAACATGATCCAGTGTCTACATGGTTTTCACCTGGATCAATTTTATAAATTTGTAGACATTTAATGGTACATTTGTATAATAAAAAGGAAGAGTTGTAGTAAAACAAATAACATAGAAAATGTAATTCTTCTGACTCTCGTGCTTTACAAAAACCTTTTCCTTTCTTCTTAGTCCTTCTCCTCCCCCTCCTTCATCAACCCTAACAGCTGATGACTTTGCCACATTTTTCATAAATAAAAAAAACAACCATCAGCAGCCAATTTTTCAGACCACAAACTGGCACACACATCTTAAAACAAACACACACATTCTCCCCTCCATCTCTCCGCTCTTGGAGGCAGAAGTCTCCAAACCTCCAAACTATACCTGACCGCTTGATCCTATCCCCACTCATCTCGTTCAAGGCATCTCATCTTCAGTTGGACCTGCACTTACTCACATCATCAACACCTCTCTTCACACTGGTACCTTTCCCACAGCATTTCAGCAGGTTTGGATAACCCCACTGCTTAAGAAACCCACTCTTAATCTAGAAAACTACAGACTGGTATCCCTTTTCCATACATTGCTTCAGAGCCGGACAGTAACGGAGTGCATTTACTTGAGTACAGTATTTAAGTACAATTTTGAGGGATCTGTACTTTACTCGAGTATCATTTTTGGGGAGTACTCATGACTTTACTCAAGTACATTTGAGAGGCAAATATTGTACTCTTTACTCCAATACATTTCTATCCATAACCGTGAGTACCAGAGTAAAAAAAAAGGAAAATCTCGGAAACCTTCAATTTGTTGTTTCCCTCTCAAACGTGATTGGATTGTGCAGGTGCCACTGATTGGGACAGCCTATCAGCAATCACTTTCAGCTTTCCGCCAAAGTCAACTCCATGGTCAGATTTTATATTACACATTAATGTAAGCCAAGCATTTGGTTTGATGTTCTTGAGTATGTGGTGTGTTTAACACAGTCAGGTTCAAATGTGGCAGTGGCGTAGCCACGAGGGATTTCTGATTTCTTAAAAAAAAAAACTTTAGGAGGCAAAATATATTTTTACTGATTATGTGAATTACACTGCGCAAACCAAAGTAGGCTACTACCCAGCGAATGAAGAAGGGTTGGCGCTCAGTCTCCACAGTACATAAAATATTAATTTTGTTTTATTTTATTTTTCGGGTTTGCATTTATGAGGAAAAAACAATGTTATGGACGTGTTCTCCGTTACGGACGTGAGCGCTCTGAAAGCGGCATAAAAAATGCTTTAAAAGCATTTAAAGATGGGACCCCCCAAAAATTAAATTAAATTAAATAAAGCAACATGGTAAAAAGATGAAAATGACTTGATTTTACTTTCAATTCCTTTTACATTCTCCAAGGTATTAACATTAACATTTTTCATAACTCCATGTAGGACGTTTCTGTGCATAAATGTAAGCACTGTGGCAGTAGATTACTAATGCAATATTTAGAAAATCTACTCTCGTACTCTTGATACTCAAGTACTTTTAAAAACAAGTACTTTAGTACTTTTACTTAAGTAGACATCTGACTGTAGTACTTTTACTTGAGTAAAATTTAGCAAGGGGTATCTGTACTTTTACTCAAGTAACAAAGCTCTGTACTCTGTCCGCCTCTGCATTGCTTAGACACTTGAATGAGTCATGTTCAACCAAATCTCTGCCTTTCTTACAGAACATCCTGGACAACAATCAGTATGGTTTCAACAGCGGACACTCAACTGAGACTGCCCTGCTCTCAGTTATTAAAACTCTGAGACTGGCAAGAGCAGCTTTCAAGCCTCAGTTCTCATCTTGCTAGATCTGTCTGCTGCTTTCGACACAGTTAACCAATTGATTCTCCTGTCAACCCTCATGATGAAGGGCAATTTAGGAACTGCACTCCAATGGTTCAAGTCTTGAAGTTGAAGTTTTAATTTGCCATTTGTACCAGTACAGCTAGTACAAGTATATAGGAATTTTTGTAGCAAAGCTCATTGAGTCAACATTAAAAAGTCAACATAAAAGAACTAACAAAACTACACGCAATAGACTTTGAGAAGGTACAGAAAACAAAGAACAGTATAAACCTACAACAAACAAACACATTAAAGATGATTACCTCCATATAGGAGTATTGCACTGTCCTGAGATAACAGAGTTTAACAGAGACAGACACATAACCACATCACAGGCATAAACTACCCTTTCTAACATCTCTATATAAAAGGAAATAACACTTGTCATCTTATAAAAATGAGACAGACATATTTGTTCCCTCTGCCATATCCTCAATCATCAGTCTGACCATGGCTGGAAAAAACTGGTTTAATAACATCATAACATCTAGCTACTGGTGTGCATCAGGGCTCCGTGCTTGGACCACTTCTCTTCTACATCTACATGCCATCACTAGGATCTGTCATTCAGAAACATGTTTTTTCCTATCATTGCTAAGCCGATGACACACAACTCTACCTCTCATTCCAGCCAGATGATCTGACAGTAGCTACTCGCATCTCAGCCTGCCTGACAGACATTTCTGGCTGGATGAAGGACCACCACCTTCAACTCAATCGAGAACCGAGACAAAACTGCTTGTGGTCTCAGCCAACCCAACACTTCATCACAACTTCTCCATTCACCTAGATTTGTCAACCATAACTCCATCAAGGTCAGCCAGAAACCTTGGAGTTGTGATCAATAACCAGTTAAACTTCACAGACCACATTGCAAGAACTGCCCATTCCTGCAAATTTCCCTTAAACAACATTAGGAAGATTAGGCCCTTCCTATCGGAGCATGCAACACAACTCCTTGTCCAATCTCTTGTTCTTATCCAGACTGGACTGTTGTAATGCTCTCTTTGCAGGCCATCCCACATGCACTGTCAAACCTCTGCAGCAAGAGTGGTCTTTAAGGAGCCGAAGAGAGCGCTCGTCACACCTCTCTTCATAAACTTGCACTGGTTGCCAATTGCCGCTCGCATCCAATTCAAGGTGCTGATGTTTGCCAATAGAACAACCACTGGCTTTGCACCCCAATATCTAAACTCACCTATGTGCCCTCCAGAAGCTTGCATTCTGCAAGTGAAAGGCACATTGTGGTGCCATCATCTCAAAGAGGCACAAAATCACTTTCTCGGACCTTCACCTGACTGTTCCCTGCTGGTGGAAGGTTTTGCCTAACTCAGCCATTGCCTTAGCCATTTTCAATATATTTTTCATCAACACTTGACTCATTAATACTAACATTTACCATTCTATATATCTATTTAAAAAAATAAAATAAAAAACAAAAAAAACACCATGCTACGTGTACTGTGTTAGCTAGACTAACTGGGACTAGACACAGCTCTTACATATTGTTGCCCTATTATTGCTTTGATTGCTTCTATTGTTCTCCTCATTTGTAAGTCTTTGGATAAAAGCATCTGCTAAATGATTAAATGTAAAAGTAAATGTAATAGTCTCTTATTGGTCTTTTTAAGCACTCTATAAAACAAACAAAACACTATACAATTTATTATAAATATCATATTATGAAGACACTTTGTAATGATAACATAATGGTATAATAAACGGAGCAATTCCAAGAGGGCCCTTATTAGATGATTTGTTAATTGCATTCAATAGATTACACCTTCATTAATAATACAATTGCATTTAGATTGTAAAAGTTTTTGGGGGGTTTTTTTGGATGCATGTTTAAGCTGAGCTTTCGCTGCATTCACACATGTTCTGATCAGCATGTGTCATCATTTTGTGAAGCAATTGGTTCAATGTTTTCAAAGTTTCTAAAAGCGTTGTTTCTTCCATCACTATGATGACACTGCTGATGTATCTGTTTACATTCTGCCAAAATAGGGCTAAAATAACCATCACCAATCACTTGAGACACCCACCCTGATATAAAGGTTGATCTGGCCCTTGTACGGCTTTCCATCGTGTGTAACTGATACAACCCGAAATTTCACCGTCTCCCCTGGTTGGTAATTGTTCTTGTCAGTCTGGATAAAGATGGACATGCACTTGGGGCTGAAGACCATCGCGGTGGAGTTTGAAAACACTTGAGCAGCTCCAACAAACCCCTTAACGTAAAGCTGATATGGATACCAATAACTCAATTCATCATAAAAGACCTGAAGAGGGGAAATAACACACATATACTCTGAATGTAGGTCACAGACAAACAGCTACTCATGCAACCTTCTGGTTTTTAATCAACTCAGTTATTTTATTTGGAGATTTAATCAAACTACAGTCCTGATACTCACAGGCGGAAGAGACAGTAGTCTGGTAGAGCCTTTCAAATCAAAGCAGAACAGACACGAATACTTGTTTGAACAGGGTGGAGTAGTATATTATGTAATATTATATTTATATTGTAGGTCATTCTAAAAATGTGCCTTTTTGAGTTTGACAATGCGATTTTCAATGTAAATTTAAAGAGTTCAGACTAAATTAATACATCTGAATATATGTTGTTATGTGTCTTCAGAAATGTTATATTTATATATTTTACCTGCTGGGACAGTGCTCTGTGTTTGGGCCACACTGGTGTTTCCATGAATGAGTTCAGCTGTGACTCTGATGGGATATTCTGACAGAATGCTGACTGATATTGTGGTGGGAACGCCACAGCGCAGAACTTCAGAGACGGATATGAGATACGAGGGATTCTTTGCTGGGCTGAAACTAAAAAATGTCTTATTTTCATGGGATTATAGAGATACATAATATATCTGTACTATAATATTCCATATTATATATTTCTCTCAATGATTAGAGTTTTTAATTCTGAATATTAGCATGAATTGGCTGAAATTGGATGCAGATAACAAATAACATACTTTTTTTTTTTTTAAAGAACTTAACATTAGAAACATTAAACTCTAAACAGCTATACTTTTCTATCTTTCACTATACCGTTTAAAAATTTGAGTTCTGTACAATTTGTTTAAAAAAATTAATACTTTTATTCAGCAAGGATGCATTCGATTGATCAAAAGTGACAGTAAATAATTTTATAACGCTACAAAAGATTTCTGTTTTTTTTTTTAAATGCTGTTCTTTTGAAATTTCTATTCATCAACGAATCCTGAAAAAATGTATCATGGTTTCCACAAAAATATGAAGCAGTTTTCAACATTGATAAGAAATGTTTCTTGTTTCATTTTAAAATGTATTTAAATAGAAAAGTTATTTTAAATTGTAATAATATTTCGCAAAATTACTATTTTTACTGTATTTTTTATCAAATAAAGACAGCCTTGGTTAGAATAAGAGACTTATTTCAAAAACATTTAAAAAATCTTACCGACCTCAAACTTGAACGGCACTGTATTAAAATAACGAAGCATGAAAAAATCCAGAAACTTGTCAAGAGACAAAAGAAACAGATTTTGAATATTGAGCATAATAAAAATGATTATTTTGCTATCAGGATTTTCCATATTTGCTAAAAATGTGCTCATCACTCATCATCAACACAAAAGCAATACAAAAGTTATATTCTGTGGTCATTTTAAGTAATGCATTTTTCAGAAGTTTTTAACCATTTTAATCACCTTTTAAATGACTCGTACAAACATAATAGAATTGGAAATTTGACAAACCTTGGTGTGACTAGAGTTCCACTGCAGAATAGTAAACATTCCAGAACTCCAAAGACTTGAATCCACTCCATTTGCAGGTGTGACACTCCAGTGAAAGCACTTACTGAACTACTAAGACTACAGATGCTTTTATAGAGCGATCCAACACCTGATCCTTCATCACTCCACCTACACACCCGAGGGAATAACAGCCCATTCACTGGACAATGAAGGGACCTATACAAAGACTTGCATAACATGTGTGAGAACACTGTAAAAAAATTTTTTTATATATATATATATAGCCTATATTGTAATTTTAACTGTAAAAAAAGTGTTAATTGGTTAACAGTAAATTCCCATATATACAGAGAAAAATATAATAATAGATAATAGATCTAACCTTGTAAAAAGTACAAAACAGATTTTAGTAACAGCTTGGCCTTGTTAATTCAGCAGAAACGGGCTGTTGGATTCAAATTGATTACCTTTTTTTTTTTTGTAAATTACTGATTTAAATAGTAGAATTTACAGACTGTTCTGTAAATATTTATTTTTTGTAATAATTTTTGGTTCTTTTGCAGTGAAGAACTAACAGAGCAACGAAATGTGGAGTAAATAAAAAAAAGCGTTGTACTGAACATAAATCTTTTTTTACAGTCTATGTATTGAACATAAAGTGCATGTGTATTTTTCCCTCATGCCGACAGATGTCGCTGTTTAAAAACAATGGAGCGTCATACGTGTGACGTAGAGGTGAGAGGTCGGAGCGTCGTCCTGCACACACGGGAGAATGACAACATTACGAGCTTTCACGTGCGATGATCTGTTTAAATTCAACAATATGTGAGTTATTTATTTACACATCATATAATAGCGCTGGTGATTACCATTTCAAAAAAGTACTGTAGCGTTACCATCGTAAAGTGAAGGTAGTTAATACTATGATACCATAAATTCAATATCATGGTATAACCAGCTTCATGTACTATGGTAACGTTACAGTTGTTAAATGTAATTAAGATCATATTCATCATATTGATTATGCAGCACAGTCTGCTAACAGAAAGTAGCATGTTTCTTAAACTTATTTACAAGAAATCTGTTCAAAAACATGCTATTTTGTGTTAGTAGTCTATGCTGCATCATATTGATTATTAAGTTCCTGTTGTATAACATCTATTGATATCCGAGTTTCACTTATTAATATTACTATTTTAATATTGACTGTGTATTTGTATCCCACAGTAATCTGGACCCCTTGACAGAAACTGTATCCTTTAAAACAATTACGAGCTGATTATCTCAAAATAAATAACAAAATATTGTTTGATTAATCAGCCTTTCATTTCCCCCTCTTTATTCAGTTTTTTCCTTCTTAACTTTTATTCATTGTTACAGTATGGAATTCCCTTCTATCTTCAATATTTGGCTCACTGGCCGGAGTATTTCATAGTGGCAGAGGCTCCAGGAGGGGAACTGATGGGCTACAGTGAGTCAAATGTGTTTTTAGTTGAACATTTTTTAGTTGAGAGAACATTTAAAGGGTGAACATTCAGACATTATTTACTCACATGTCATTCCAAAACTGTATGACTGTCTCTCTCTTCTGTGGAATATAAAAAGAGATGTTTAGAAGAACGCTCATGCTGCTCTTTTCTATACATTGAAAGCATTGAGTGAGGAACAGACAGAAATTTTGCTAACTCAAGTCAACGTTTTACTTCACTTTTAACGAAAGCTATCCATTTTTCTTTCTAAATCTGACTTGTTCCTAAAAGAGAAACAAAATATGCAACAAGATTAGATTGTGAATTATGTATGTTACATCCCAGAATGAGTTAAAGGGGAGGGGCTGAAAAATAAGAGGGATTGATGATGTCATCTGAAAAGGAAAGTTGTTTAAGTTTAAGCGTATCATTTCTTTTAGATCCAAAATTACAAAGACAAACATTTTTTTTTGGAAAAACATGCACTGATGAATCGTTCACAATAAGACCAGCAACTAGGATCGATTTTGATTTCATGTCTACTTTTAAAGGGATAGTTCACCCAAAAATTAAAATTTTGTCCTTAATTACTCACCCTCATGTCGTTCCAAACCCGCAAGACTTTCATTCATCTTCAGAACACAAATGAAGATCTTTTTGATGAAATCTGAGAGCTTTCTGTTACGCAGCAGGTTTGAATTTCAGCAAGAACCAATTAGTTTAGTTCTCGCACGTCAAGCAGCTTCAGTTGAGCTTCTGTTTATGTTCGCTGATCAATGTTTAAATGAGGATAAAAGCATAAATTCAATCTGTTCATCATATAAAGTGATCGTGTCTCTTCGGAAAATTTAGACTAAACTGCTCAATTCATATGGATTGGTTTTACAATCTCTTTATGAACTTTATGAAGCGTCAAAGTGGTAGTTGCGTAGCTGTCAATGGAGGGACAGAAAACTTTCAGAATTTCATCAAAAAGATCTTCATATGCGTTCCCAAGATGAACGAATGAGGGCGAGTAATTAATGACAGAGTTTTAATTTTTGAGTGAACTATCCCTTTAACGGTCAGATTGGAGTGTGTGTATATATAACCTGTATGTGAATGGTCCTGTAGTCATGGGGAAGGCAGAAGGGTCCGTGGCCAGAGAGGAGTGGCACGGGCACGTCACGGCTCTCTCTGTGGCCCCAGAGTTCAGACGACTGGGTCTGGCTGCTAAACTTATGGAGATGTTAGAGGAGATCTCAGAAAGGTACAACCAACTGCACAAACACATCTATAATGCATGTTGAAAATAAAAAGCAGGCAGAACAGTAAAAAACCTAAATCATATTGTTTATTAGCTGTAACATAACAATAAATCTGTGTCCTGATTTTAAACAAGTTATTTTGTGGTTCTCCTCTATTTAGGAAGGGCGGATTCTTTGTGGATCTCTTTGTGCGGGTTTCCAACCAAGTTGCTGTGAATATGTACAAACAGCTCGGCTACAGCGTGTACAGAACGGTTATAGAGTATTACTCTGCCAGTAACGGTGAACCTGACGAAGATGCGTATGGTGAGATGTTCACTTGCTTGCTAATTGCGCTACTGTTCAAAAGTTGGGGGTCAGTAAGTTGTTTTTTTTAAGGAAATTAATATTTTTATTCAGCAAGGAAGCATTCAAATGATCAAAAGTGACAGTAAAGACATTTGTAATGTTACAAAATATTCTATTTCAAATAAATTAACTTTCTATTTGTCAAATAATAATAATAAAAAATGATCATGGTTTCAACAGAAAGCAGCACAACTGTTTTCGGAATTGATAATAATAATAATAATTGAGCATAGTAGAATGATTTCTGAAGGAAGTCTGGAGTAATGGTGCTGAAAATTCAGCTTTGATCACAGAAATAAAATAAAAAATTGAAATATATTCAAACATTTATTTTAAATTATAATAATATTTCTACAATAGTAGTTTTTTACTGTGTTTTTGATCAAATAAATGCAGCTTGGTGAGCAGAAGAGACTTCTTTCAAAAACAATTTAAAAAAAAATTACCGACCCTGAACTTCTGAACGGTAGTGAACATGACTTACGGGTAATTTCAATTGTCTGATGTCAGTAGATCACATACAGGTTATTATTGGAGTTTCTAAGGCACGCATCATTTTTATTGTTGGTCATATTTAAGGTTAGAAATTTGAATAAACCCATGACCTTAAATATTGAACTCAAGGACAACGCATAACTTGTCTTGCAACATGTGTGCTGCTTGTTAACTTTACTAAGCAATCAAGTCTTTTCACCAGGGAAACAATAAAAGGCAAGTCAGTGTAATATAACTCACCGAGAATTGTAAGCGAAACCCATGTTTATGTAAAATACTGATTTGAACTTTTCTTTCATTTTGACAGATATGAGGAAGGCTTTATCCAGAGACACAGAGAAGAAATCCATAATTCCGCTTCCGCATCCTGTCCGACCAGAAGATATTGAATAACACTAATAAGTGGCTCTCTGAAATGATCAACATCCAACTGGGAAAACCGACATTTGGTTTTTGTGTCACAATATCGATCTGAAATGTCAGAGAGTCACTGCTTTGAACGGATTCTTTGAATTGTTGTTTTCTATTGGGTTTATAAAGCTGAAACTAAAGGACATTGGAAATGGACTGTAGTTGCATGAAATAAAAATGTTTAAGTGAAAACTTTGCTGATGTGTCTCATTAAACAAAATATAAAACTTTTGTTCAGGTTGACACGTAATTAGCATACTGAAAACATTAACAATCGGGGTCATATACTATACATTTTTACCTCTTGAATGCCACTGAAATTGCTCTCATTTTCCCTGTAACACCAGCCTGAGAAAACCCAGACAACTTCCGGCAAATTTAGATTTGCTCTGAAAGTTAGTCTGGCAAAGTGCTCATTCAATCCCATTTCCAATCCGTCGAAATCGAGGCACCAATCAGAAACGTTGGGGCGGGCTTTACACGATGACGACAGCGCTGGGATTTTGAAGCAGATTTTGTAGCCTACATTACAAAGATGGATGCCGCCGTCGAAAATCACTCGTTTGAATCAGCTATCGCGTCTGTTTTAAGCGATTTGAACGTTTCCTTTTTGTTAAAACCCGAGCAAAGAACAACACTCGGCCGCTCTGCATACGTCATCTCCTTCATCGCTCTGATTGGGTTTAGGTCTATCCGCGACGTCCGTTGGTGACGCCTCTCTGGAAATGATTTGTCTATGACGCTTTGCCAGACCATAACTCAGTTACAACTGAGAATGGTCTGGTTTTAACCAGGCTACTGTAACAATGCAAAGGCAGTCAAATTAAAACAAAGGAAGACTAGACATAAAAAAATTATAATAAACTTTATCCTGTAAACGTGTCATTCACAGCTTCAGTACATAATGCAGTAAATAAATTCAATAAACAGGATTCTGCCTCTGCATTCTTATTGTATTAGTTATTTAAGAGTAGATTCAAAGCAAAATACTTCGCACATTATCATGGATAGCAAGATTGCGAATAAGCTCGAGGATGCCATTTTTACAGTCACGATGAAACGGAAGTAGCGACAGATCTTCCGTATTGTGATGTCCATCCAAGTGCAACAGATATTCGAAAAACAGTGTCTTTTTCCCCCAGGAAGATCCATTTATGAC